ATTCTGCTAGGATTATTAGTTTTTGGCATTAAAGTAAACCATTCGGACTTACCTAGAGATGGCTTCAGTCGGCGTATCAGATCTGTTGTAGATTTCTTAATTTTATTCATGACAGTATCTATAGGTTTCTTAATCTCTTCATATGGCCCTGTTTGGATATGTTCATCCATTTTTTTTAAGATAATCCGATTTGTCCATAACTACTATAAATATTTATGTAACCATAGGCAAAGACACAGATTACTTGTGTATGGGATCAGATTGAATGTTAGCTCACTACCACATAGACAAATATTGATTAAACGGCATTTGAGTCACTGTTTGAACCCATCTAGTTACCAAAAGGCAGATATTATCAGCTAAGTAGGATATCAGTTTGCAGATGATTTACAAACCCAATGGTCCACGTTCACATTTCTCACAACTGAGTAGTTTTCCGTGTTGGCAACAGAGTTTCCTTTGGAAACCAACCCCAGTTAGCCAAGATCACAAGTTGTGATCTCCGACACAATAGAATTATGGAAAAATGTCAATATGGACAACACAGTTCGTAAATCATTTGCAAATCGACTGTGCTATTTAAGGTATAATAGTCCATGCATATCAGCCAACCATAATTAGGTGATCTGAACAATCCAGCTCTGTAAAGTGAATTTGTCCCGACACACCACTGTGAGCTCGGATACAAACGATCGAAACGGCCGTTCGGCGTTTAGACAACTCTGATCTGGCTGGCTGTGAGGGGTTTCAAGCTCATACAGTTCTTCCCAATTAGTTGGCTTCTGAGAAGTTCCTGTTCCCAGGAATACAAATGTATTCACATGGTAAAACAAAAAGAGCGCTGATAAAATGACTCAACTGCTGAATATTACGCGCTGATACCAGATGAATAACGAGGGATAAAAAGGAAATCCGATGTGATATGACTATCAGGATAGGGATATTATATGGATTCACCTTCATTAGAGAAGCTAACTATAAGGTCTCCAAATAACAGTTTTTGACTGCCACGTGGACCTTAACCTATAGGGTATACACTCCATCAAACATTTGAAGAAGATTAAACCACGTTTTAGTCTTCACCTTTTTTTCAGACATAGACGGTATTTACATATGTATGACATGTATCCTAGTCACCTCATTTGGTAAAGATTCCGAACCTCCCCCTTTGAGTCATTGGTGTTAGCTAAACCTTTACATCTAACCCATCTTTCCCGCTTCATGGATCGATAAGAAAGCCTGATGCTTTCTCATGTATTCCACCTTTAATGGTCTTATTTCACAGCCATGAATTGCTTCATATTCCGCTCGACTTTTAGTAAGCAATAGGATATAGAGTTGGTCAGGGAAAAGTAATCGAAGCTACCATTTCCTTTAAAAGAATCCCGAAATAGGTGAAGTGGCTAACGACCTTAACCACTTCATACCTAACTATTCAACGGGATATAAACGCAGATCATTTCTGAGGCAATAATTTGCTTTTGAGTGGTGACAGTCGAACTTCTGACGTTCACAGATAGCTGGTCATGGTGTTCAGAAGACTTCGCATCTTTTCATTGTCTATACCTGACAGGATTACGTCATCTGCTTCCTGTAGGTGAACTAGTGGTATCCTTTGAAAAGGCAATTCCATGTAAAGAGAGATGACGAGAGAAATAGAGAGTGGACATCCTTGGCAGACGCCACTCCATGTACAAAACTCACCTAATACTTCACCGCAGAAATCAGCAGTTTAGAACTATTGAACTCGAATGAACAAAACAGAACTTTTCATCACAACTTCACTGATTATAGGATGGAGTTTAGTAAACTGATGTTTCTTATTGCAAGATTTCAAACATCTAAAGATTTCTATGACAAAAGGACAACGAATAATCAAGATAGAAGTGGCCTTTAGGTTACTGAAAGCCAAGGAAAGAATAAAGTTTAAACACGATCTTTATGAAATACAAAGTTCACGTTTTAATCACATAGCATTGTTTGTTGTACACAATGTTATAGCATTGAAAGCTTTATATTAGAACCTATGTGATACTGTGTGTCTATTGGGTGCACTTTCACTTCACCTTTTCCGAACCATACCTATAGTTGTTCTCTAACCTGAAGCCATACTGGTCTAATCGTATACCCTATGCAACTTGTTCTACAAGAATAATTAAATTGATGTATACAAGATGAACTGGTAAGATTAAGCAGGCTATCTTTTAGTCTCACACTGAGTATTGGCCGAATACTCAGAGATACACCAAACTGACCTGCATAAAACTTCCTATTGACAGGTCTAGATAGGACTTGTCATACATGGTGTGTCACATAGAGCCCAGAAACGGAAGCTTCTTCTCTTTTGTCACCAATACTTAGTTACAACTAATACAATCTATGTTAACTTTGACGAAGTACTTCATTATTTTACTAATAAGCTCTTTCCTACCCGAATTTTGGTTGGTTGTTCAGCCTCTATGCCACTTCTAAGTGTCTTTAGCCTCCACCACCTACTCTTATTCGAACTTGTGTTTGTTGTTAGAAATCAGTCTAGAGAAAGCTTTACTCATCTTGGGTTTCGCCCTTTTTGACACTCATCAGTGAAGTATGCCAGTAAATATGAGGAAAGTGGTATTCTCCAAGTGAATAAAACCTGCACCACTAAGGTGTACAGTTAGAAACTTTATAGATAAGCTAATTAGGCCACAGGTGACGCACTGTAAATCACCAGTGGGTAATTACTATGATCGATAAGTGTGACTAAGCCATCTATGAGTGATACGAACCTAACGCACAAGTGAATCTAATCTAATTGCTTATAGGAATGTTAATCACCACAACGACAATACTACTGACACTGAAAGACAAGAATAGACGACACACAGCTTTAACTATCTCAACAACAGTCAAAACAGTTGACAATGATGTCTAACATATACATTCTAAATGACGTTGACAAACATACTGAATCCCTAATAAGTTAGAACATCATCATCATTATCAAAACATCAACATAGCAACCAATAAGAGTTGAGCATTCAGAAGCCCTAGGAAAAACAAAAGCTAGCAACGGTCCCGAGAAAGCACGAAGACAGTAAGAGAAAAAGTTACTTTAAGCCTATAGGCAAATATCAAGCAACATTTTGGCAAAATTAGGGGTATATAATACTAACCGATTTAATTGACTAGTTCTTAGGCCTGGTCGATGACCAAAAGGCATCGATAAAGCCTTTGGTATGGCTATTAAAACAAACTGAAGTAACACTATGTAACGCAGTATTTTTCGCATTAATGTGTCCATATAATCAAGTGTCTAACTATGAGGGAGGTACCCAGGAAGTATATAATGCTTTTCAAAGCTCTTAACTCACATGCAGCCGTATAAGAGGTTATGGAGAGTTGTCAAGTGAGTTGACGACAACTAGTGATGTCCTACCTAACTTCGTCGTAGGTGTATTAATGGACATAATCTTAGATACGTCTGACTTAACAGGGATTGACCCACTTCCTAGAGACTAGCTAGTTGACTTGGAATATGGAAATGATATTGTCCTACTAGGCGGAGACCCTGATGAAATGCAGGGTCTTCTGAACGCGTTGAGCAGAAATCTGTCTATGTTCGGCATGAATTGCTCTGGCACCTGTCAAATGTGAGATGATGCTCCATGACTCTCAGGTAAATGATCGGGAGTGAAGTGGTAGAATATGTCAGCAAATTGACTTACTCAGGGAGTTGCATCAACACGAACGAGGTGGTTGCTGACGAAATTTCAAGTCGGATACTGAAAGCATTGCCAACTTTCATCACCTGTGGCGTCGACGAGATATCTATCAAAAGATGAGTATAATACACTCTAGTCCACTCTTTCTCTTTGTACGGCTATGAGACATGGCCATTAAAAGTAGGAGACATGAAACAGTTACAGTTTTTCGACCACACGTGTCTTTGTAATATTGCTCACCTTTGGTGGAGTCACTGTATGAGCAATGGTGAGATTAGGTGAAGTGTACAAGGCAAGACAGGCAAGCTGACTGGTGAGATTGTGAAAGTCAGTCGACTGAGATGACTGCAGCACGTACTGTAGATGACGAGCCATTACCTATATTGACATGGCATGGCAGACGAAGTTGGATAAGGTTGGAAAAGCGTTAATGATGGTGGGACAAAGATGTGGTACCAGTCGATGTAGTCCTTGACTGTTGGCTTCAGCCATATATAGAGATGGATACCGCCTAGTTGGGGTCCTCGGGAAGAAAGGAACCAACGGTTGAGGATACTTGGTGACATGAATGAAAATCGACGACAATTATTATTATTATTTGTCCCTTGGGTTCCTGGTGGAATATAGGGCTTCACTAGCACATCGCCATTTCAATCTCTTCTCTCCAGTCTTTTGAACCTGGCTCCACGATTGACCACAAGCTTTCATTTCTTCCTCATATAGTCTCCTCCGTGTCACCGTAGGATGCCCAACTAGTCGTTTCCTATTTGGATTTCACTCGACGGCCTGTTGCATGATGTCCCCAATCGGCCATCTCAGTGTATGCTCAATCCATCTCCACTTTCTTCTGCATGTTTTTTGGGCGATGGGTCCTTGGTTGGTTCGTTCCCAGATGTTCTCACTTCTTCACATCTTCTAAGGCTTGAACATTCACACTGACCTTTATCTTCAGATTGTTTATTCACACACACACACACACACACACACACACACACACACACACACACACAATTTTGTCTACTTTAATATCAGTCTTTTCCTATCTAATTGTTCTTTGTATACTACTACTGTGAAGTGTATGGCAATTTGAGGTGATGAACGTGTGTTCCACGTTGATTTTAAGATTGTCACTTCAATGAATATACTGTTCAACTTCAAACCCTATCTACCCCATCTATCATGGAAATAAATCATGTATAAGAAGTTGTTCTTTTGTAATTTACTAATAATTTTAACTGAATCTTAATTGTTTTATTCTCTGTTCTACTTTTTTTTGCTTTTTTGTTGTCTTTTTAGACTGTATTTCCTGCATCTCAACCAGAAAGATTGATTGATTTAAAATCAACTGTAGATCTACTCACCAGTATCACATTTTTTCGCCTTAAAGTAAGCGAATGAATACAGATTTTAAATAAATTTTATTTTATGTCAACTATGCAAGGGTGTTCATTTTTTTTCATTCATCTGAATATCATTTTGACTAGTCAGAGTAGAGTAGGGGTAGAGTAGAGCAGAGTGGAGTAGAATAGAGTAGAGTGGAGTCAAGTAGAGTAGGGCTAAGTGGAGTAGAGCAGAGTAGAGTAGAGTGGACTAGAGTAGAGTGGAGTAGAGTTGAGTAGAGTGGAGTCAAGTAGAGTAGGGGTAAGTGGAGTAGAGTAGAGTAGAGTAGAGTGGAGTAGAGAAGAGAAGAGTAGAGTAGAGTATGTAGAGTAGAGTATAGTTGAGTAGAGTAGAGTAGAGTAGAGAAGAGTAGAGTGGAGTGGAGTAGAGTTGAGCGGAGCGGGGTAGAGTCGAGTAGAGTAGAGTGGACTAGAGTAGAGTGGTGTAAAGTAGAGAAGAGTAGAGTGGACTAGAGTAAAGTAGAGTGGATCGAAGTGGAGTAGAGTGGAGTGGAGTAGTGTACACGGATGTTGTTGTCAGTTGAATCGTGTATCTGGTAAGGTTTTGCTTGATATAATTAAGAATAAATAAAGCATAGACTAACAGGGAAGTTGTATCATTTATCGTTCAAATTTGTACACAATAAAAGACATTCCTAAGATTATCTAATCACAGAATGTCTTACCAAGCGATGCTGGAAGAATATTTCAAATCGAAATTAACTCAACAATCTTATACACACTCTTTGCAATCGGCAAAAGGCCACATCTATTGTGTGCGAGATGTTTTAAACCTATGATCCAGTAGTTAGAAATCATAATAGACAGAATTTTCTAGGTGAAATATTATACCAATTTATTGCCTCTATGAATATAAACTTGAGTATTGTAGAAAGTCTACCAAACAAGTGAAATCTATAGCTGATAACATTAAACAAAATGTTTCTTTTCTTGACTATTAATTTACTTGTATATTTCTAAAGTATTTTACTATTCACTAGTAGAATAAGTAAAGTAAGTGTTTTACATTACTTCAAGACATCTATGAAGGATCTCAATATTATCATCTAGAATTCTTTTACCTGTTAGTCATTTAATTATTCCTGATAAAACTTAGCAAGAATTGAAATCCACTCAGAGAAACTTTGTGTATATTCAAGGCGAATAAACGATAAGTCACTTGATTGGCTAAATCTCAATAGATGGGGCTGAGTTGAAATTCAGTTCTGTAAATCAATGAATCATAAGCTTTCAAATAGTGTTCAACATAATTCATTTATATAGCTAGCTACTTATCAACTGGAAGAATTTAAGAAAAAAGAAATCCATATATTGTATGTCTGTTCTCCTCAATAACTGAATACAAATTGGCTATAACTCAATTGACACAATAGCCTACAACCTAGACTAAGTATTGATCAGTTATATAGTTGTCATTCATAACATTTCAAGTTGTTATTCATGGTAGATTGACATCAGTTGGAGGAACAAAGGAAACTTGGGAGCACTGGGCAGCTGTTTCTTGGGTGCGCACTGGTGAGGAGTCCGATACTGGGACGAAACAGATGTCCAATGCTCCCAGGTTTCCTTTGTTCCTCCAACTGATGTCAGTCTACGATGAATAATAACTTGAAATATATAGGAACTGATAAACTAATTTGTATGCAAATCACATTAAGGAATACCTATTCATAGATCTTATTATAGTAAGTTGGATTTAGATTCTTTTAGAATGCCAACCGAAGGAAACAGTTACCAAGTACTTTATGAAGTGAATTAAATCCCTTCTGCTTATTAGTGACATATTATGAAGTTCGAATGAGAAGCCGCGATCAGTGAGATCAAGCAGTTGGAAGGGAATTAGATGCCAACTAAAGACTATAGGTAATAGTCACGCAATATATATCGCGAACTGACAGAAGTTGGAAACTGTGAACCATTGGACTTTGACCCAGTGACTGAATGGTTTACACGTTCACTGGGAAACCTGAAGTTCCTGAGTTTAATTCTTAATGCAGCGGGGTCGTAAGTGTGTACTACTAAGGAGTCCCACACCAAAACGAAACAGCTGTCCAGTTCTTCCAGGTTTTCAATAATCCCTAAATTGATACCAGCTCATGATGAATATTGTTTCAGTATGTTGACTGGTTACTGGAGAGCAGACAATTTCACCCATTCCTGAGTGCTAATCGAATCCTATTGATCGGATTGGAATATGGCCACTTAGAGAAAGGCTGAGCATTGCAGTGCAGTTTAGTGAATATTAGTTAGTTAGAGACAATCTGTAGGAAGAAGTTCTGTACTTAGATTTTGATCTTGTTGACACTTGTCATCAAGGTCTGGCTGCCTGAATGGCTCAATTATAACTTCTTTGACTACAGTACTGGGTGAAGCTGGTTCATACTTGATAGGGGAAATCAGTTTCTTTGAATTCGGAGATGGGTGCCAGCAAACACCAAAACTAGGTCAATTAGCGCTCCCTACCAATTCAGAATCAGTGGTTTCATACTCTTGGTGTTATGGCTTCAAGTTGGTCACTATGGCATATATATATAAACATACTTTGGCATATTGGAATTCCTAAACTTCTTTATTAACCTACGTTAATTTATTTTCTCAACTATCATCTATATTTTTCAGCCTTAATATTAGTTTCCAAGTTCTCTTAGTTTTTCGTTTACTGTTGTAAACTAAGTACGCTGACCAGTCCGTCTGTTTGTTTGCCTGTCGGCCGGTAATCATTTAATCTGAAAACAACTTTCACTATATGCAAATAATAATAATAATAATAATAATAATAATAATAATAATAATAATAAACTTTATTCCAAACAATTTGCTGTGCAATTTGGAATTCTCAGCATCATATATTCCAATAACAACAACAAGTATATGTGTATATATATTCTCCTTGAAAACATCTCTCCCCTCATAATATGCGTACTAGGCAAGGTATAGTCGAATTCTTGTACTCAGGTGTACGAGCGTACAGAGTCTTATATAGTTTCTTCGTGTCCACCCCGACGGGCGATACAAGGAGAGAGAGCTGTGAATGAAGTGGATGCTCAGTGTCAATTAAAATGACTGTAGTTAGTTACTTCCTGAAATTTAAATGTCTGTCAACTACGACAATGTTGATCAGTTGAGCCAGAGACACACCATTTCGGCTACCTGCTGACGACTTTCAAAGCCCTATGGAATACAACACATAGTCTTTCTTAAGTAGACCAGGAAAGATCAAGGAGGAACATTAGAGAAGAATCGGTAAAATGCAGTCTCAATTTTTTTATGTAATATGTTGAACGAAAATTTTTTAGGAAGTTAACAAGATATGCGACGACCAAGAAGGATCAGAAGTAAAATTCAATCCCAGATAGTTAACACTCTATTTACTTTATGCAGAAATTCCATCATTGTTGCAACAGGTGTCATGGAACTTAAGCACCTCACACAACTCCATCTTGTTTACGCCTTAGGCTAAAATTAACAGTCTGACATTTAGAAGGATTTAACTTGAAACCACTTGAGAGAGGGGTCATTGGTGTATTACAGACAAGAATCCGTTTAATTGAGAGAAATCTAAATGAGAGTTGACTGGAACAGACACCGTCACGTCATCAATATACGTTCAAAAAGAACGAGAAGAGAAACGGGGAAAGTACTGCACCTTGAGATACATCATCTTCAGTAAGGAATGAAGTGGAGCGCTTCTCTTTATTTACTGTTTCCTTTCAGAAAAATGACAATGCGGCCAGTTTGTAATCCGGGGATCAGTATGAACCATGGTAGGCTTATTTAACAAGAGTGATCTAGGAACAAAGTCAAAAGGTGATGAATAATCAATCCAAGAAGGCATAATGAACACACTCGTCACCTCTATCTGGATTAGAAACAATATTATGATGATGCAAGACAGTGACAGCATCTAAAGTACTTCTCCTGTATTTGTAAGCAAATTGTTTTGGATTGCTGAAAACCTTCAATGATGGCTCAAGCACAAGGAGAAGTAGTCTCTCCATTGTCTTCAAAAAACGAAGTTGAGTTATAACGATGAGTTGAAACTTAACATATGATGCAGAAGATGACTTAGACACAGATACAACTTTGCTCTCCTCCCAAGTAGAGTAGTATTTTGTGTTTTTAGTGAATGATACATTGAAGACATCTGTACATTTTCTAAATGTATTACTTGGAACACCATCAAGACCTAAGTTTTGGGATGAATTCAAGGGTTTAAGATATTTAATTACGTCATCTGTATTAAATTCAAGAAAGCAGCTATCCATTGAATTATGGACATTGATAAGGATGAAATCAGCCTACCGATGTATGAATAACTTGACTGATTTATAAATAAGAAATAGACAGTTCTAATTACAACTGTAAGACAATGTCAATATCTATAAAACCTAAGCTGGTCTTACGACGTCTAAGTACAAGTAAGATAAAGTAACTAGCTATTCAATGTTCTCTGTTCTTTATTAATTCTGTCATACTGAGATATACAAGTTATTATGTCATCTAAATTTACTGATAATATTTTTCTCCTTTTATTAACCTTAAAAAGGTTCAAGAACTCAGTTCTCCTCCAAGAACAGGTCAAATACTACGTGAATGTATTGAAGCCTGTATACATGCAACTTATCAGTGCCTTTGTGAAAATGTACATGATTTATATGGGAAAAGCTTACAGGTTAGTTAATTTTTATTGGAAGATAAACTAAATCGACAAACCATGGTTATTTACTTAGTTGTGGCTAGCAGAGGAATTTCAAGACATGCGCTTCGTCCTATTTGGGACTCATCGGCCGGATGCACCTACACCCCAGTGCCGAGTGATGTTGTTCCCACCAAGGGGACTTGAACCTGCTACCCATCACTTTAAACGCCAAGGCGTTATCCACTATGCCACAAAGGGATTAATTGGTCTTCATAAGAAAGTTAGCGGAAAAAAATTATTGATTATTTGCTTGACTATGGCTTGCGGGTTGTGCGTTCCGTTCTATTTCGGACTCGTCAGCTGGATGTACCTGCATCCCAGTACCAAGTGGTGTTGTTCCCACCGAGGGGATTCGAACCTCGTACTCGTCGCTACGAACGCCATCGTAACTCCGTGGCATGGTGGGTAACGCCTTGGCGTTTGTAGCGACGGATACGAGGTACGAGTCCCAAACAGAGCGAAATGCACGTCTTGGATTCCTCTACTAGCCACGACCAAGTAAGCTATCATAATTAACATTTAGGCAATATCGAAGCATCTACATAGGAGCTCATATGCCAATAGAGGTGGAACAATTCGATCCAGTAAAACAATGAAGAATTACAAGTATATCAATAATTAGCAAAAATTATTGATTATCTACTCAAATATTTAAAAGTAATATTTTTGTTTGAAAATAAATATTAACAAGAAAGCTAATCAGTTTCATGTTCAAAGTGATGAGACTACCTGAACGTCTTTCATCTGAAGTAGTGGTTAGAATAGTTCTACATGGTTTACAGTTCCATTTGGATCCAATTCTGAAGCTTCTGCTTTTCAGTCAACGAAAGTCACAGCTAGTGACGTATAATTACAAATTCCATATTAGATTGCTTATCTGATGTAGCACAAAGTAGTGACACAGTATGATTTTCTGGATGACGGTGTTCAGAAAAGAATTCATTGCTCATATTTTCATATCTCAAGACAATCATACAACTTTCAAACTTCCATTATATACAGTCCAACAGTTCTTCATTCATTTAGTTTAATAGTAGCAAAATTTTCCAGATATCTGTAATATACGATGAATTGTTGCTGTTACATGTATGTTCGATGTTGGTTGATTCAATGAACAAAGAGTCTATGATCAATCTCTCCCTCCATCTAGAGCTGACTGTATAAGATTTTAGAACTGTCACCATCGTCTATCCTATTCTATAGTGTGAATATGGGTCAGTGAATGTAGAGTAATAGCTGAGATTTCCTCGAAATTACTTGTCTTAGAATGATGTATCACTGTGTTTCACTAGATTTTTGTGTCCTACAATTCTGAATAGCTATGGGATCTCCAATATTTCCGATTGTAGCACACATATTCATGGAGAGTTAAGAACATATGGCTTTATTTATCGCAAAGTTTATTAGGACTGATGACAGAAGGCGTGGTAGTGTTAGTGGTGACTACAACATGCCTCAGAGGGGATTGAAATCATCTATTGTGTTGACGTGTAAAGAAAGTACACAGAATCCTTGACAATGCCGGGATTATGGTGTTGTTTAAACCCGCAAACTCACCCAAAGAGAAATCTTGTAGACTGAAAAATCCAGTACAGCCAATTAAGAAAAATAACCTAATCTATCACATAGCATGTAATGATTATATGGTTATGTATATAGGTCGGTCAGAACAGCAGAACACAAATAATGATAGACTCTACTAATAGAAGTAATATAGAGAGAACGTCGGCTATCGCTGTGCATACACTGACCGATAATCACACTATAGGATGGGACAGACGATGGTGACAGTTCTAAAATCCAAAACGGTTCTAGATGGAGGAAGAGATCGACTACAGAACCTTTGTTCATTGAATCAACCAACACCTAACACTTTCGAAACTCGAATGACTCATCACACATTGCGGGTACTTGGAAAATGCTACTACTATAAAAATAAGCGATATCCGGTGGTCGCTGGTTTGAATCCGGCCATGGTCTAAATTTTCATCACCCAGGATGTTTAATACTAGACTGCCGAACCACAACGGCTATCTCAAACAGTCAAAATGATAAAAGTTGATAATGACAATATAAGCGTACAAAGATTAATCTAATAAAAATAGAAGTTGAAGGAACAAAAAGAAGGAAACACATCAACAGACAAAGACTGTACATACTTCCTTTGCATGCACACACAAAGGTCAAGCCGACTTTAGTTCATGGATAATCAAGGCCTTTGTTGTTTTTAGAAGTTGAAGATCAAGGAAATGTGAGATGTTTCAGCGAACTCGATAGACAACTTTCAAACCATTGTCAGCGGTCGGTTGAATGGTTGGAATCGATTAGACGTTCAAGGATAGAACTTCTCAGGGATTTTCTTTCACCCTTATAAAGGCAAGCAGGAATATGTTGTCGTATACATACAGACGACAATCCCTGACTACAGCCGATTCACGTTGTTCCATAGCAGCAGGGGAACTTGTGGATACACATGGAAGTGGTCTGTCAAGGGATATTGTCTTTTACACATATGGAGAACAATTTACGACTAGTAAAGATGAAATGAAGCTTGGGGATGTTTTATACTGCATCACCATTTAGACTTCAGATTGTTAAAGAAAGTCCCCTTGGAAACTGAGCTGTTGGCTAGTTTCTCATGTCTTTCTTGCATATTCTCATCAACAGACCGGTTAAGATAGCTGTTTCCCACAAGCGTCCTTCTTAGAAAGTCAAGTTCAACTTGAACATGGTCTATGCTACACATATTGCATATTCGATAACGAAGTGAGTGAATGAGGTGTCTTTTGTTAATGATCAGCACCCAACTGTCATAAACTAACAACATTATTATTACTATAACCACCATTATTGTTATTTTAATCTTCTATTATTTAGGTCAAATCTTCGTCACAGACTACAGTCTTTAAATATCATGTATTTATATACAAATGTGTAGCCTGAGAATGAACTGACTGAAAGTAGTCCTCTTTGTTGAATATTCTCCTTTAACAATTTGTGAAATTGATTCAACAAACAAATAACCTCTCGACAACAGTGAATTGACACATTGAATAAGATTGAATCAAATTGTATAATAATTTAGGCAATTGTAGTTCACTTACTTAATTCTTTAAAGTATTCAGTTATTAACTCATTCATCAATCTATCAGCTGGTTCAATTCGATCTATCCACTTTGCAATAATACTCGAGAATTCAGTCACCTTTATATATTCAATATTATGCACATGAGTATTATTACTGACTGTTACTATTGGAAAATAAACTTGATAGATTATTTAAACAATTCGTAAGAATTAGTAGAAGGAATAATTAGATGGAAATTAGGTGGCAAATAGGCAGAAGGTAATGTTTGTTGAATAGAATTGAATAATGATGACGGTGATGGTGATGGTGACGCTGACAACTTCTTCAATGAAGACGCAGAGATAAACATTGTTTTCTTTGTATAATGTAAACTCCTCTTGTTCAATTTTATGTATAGACATTTGAATCGAATCATGAGTAGTTGATAAATTTCAATGTAATTGTTTTGAAATGAATAATTATCCAATTTTGAGTGAATAAATTCCATGATGAAAGATGATTACTAGAATTTTCTGTTTCTTCAAAATCAATACATATTAATTAAATGAAGAATATGTTTTGACAAGAAAAGAATATCATGCAATGTATTGGTCAAATCTTTATTCACCGGAGTAGTTAACTGATCTATCTATCTAACAGATGAGATAAACTGAAGTGGTATGCATCAATTAAAGATTTCAATGACTGAAGAAAGAGAGAGAAGAGAGAAAAGTAGAAGAAAAAAAAGTATATGACTATAACTGTAGAATGAATCTGGAAATACTTCGACTTTTGATTCTATCAGTCAGTAGTCAACAACGTAAACTATTTAATGTAATCGATATGAAACCTTAACGAGTGTAAAAAGCAACGACTAACAAACAAGGTAAATGTAATATAAGTGAAAAACTTGGGCACTGTGGTAGAATGTAGTTCCATATTAGATTTGTTTATTTGATATAAAGCGCACAGTGATACAGTATTATTTAATTGATTACGTTTCGAGCATAAATTATTACTGCTCATAATCATCACATCAATGTAATCACACACAAGTTTCGATATCTGATTTTATAGTCCTGTCACCTGATCTCCCTTTGTTTTTTTGTTCTTTGATTGGTAGTAAAGTTTTCCATATCTCTGGTATGGATAGGTGTTGCGTCATTCGTATTCCACATGTGTTGGGTGTGGATTAGATGAAGAAAGATTAAGTAATTAATCTCTCTCTCTCTCTCACTCTCTCGACCGTATCACTGTGCACTATATATCAAATAAATAAATCTAATATGGAATTACATTCTACCATAGTGCCCAAGTTTTTCACTTATATTTCTGGCTCACTTGGGATTTTGCCCATCGTTAATGTTTACAACGAGTGAAATGCTTATGGAGATGATAATGGCATCTTTGAAATCAACAGTATCTCCTGAATAGAATTTGATAAGAAAGTAGTATGTCATCAATCGACTAAAATCGGACGGCATAATTCATTAGCTCCCGACTTGTTGGCTGATAGGTAACATCCTACAGATGGTGTAACTTCACTATCCCGATGACTGTGGATGCAACCTGTTGATAAATCATAAAGACAAAAATACCATACAATGCTAACTGGTTTTTAGTGATTATCTAGCTGATATCAATTTTCGATAAGAAACTATTTTAAACCAGTAAACTCTCTGGCTAACTTTTTAACTAGGTAAAAATCCAACATGATAAGACTGATAATGATAAGATTGTCTATAGTCTGTTAAGATGTAACATGTTGCAGCTAACAGAATTGTTGCTAACAGTGTAGTTCAGTTTATGAAAATGTAGTAGAAAGAAGCGAATCTTCGCTGTTTATAACTTGGAAATCACTTCGGTTATCTCATTAACAAAGAAGCGGAATGACTGTTAGTCGGATCATGGTTATGATAGGCATTTCATGTAATCTGAATATAAACTATGCACGCAGTCTCTTACATATTTTTCTCATATAACCTTTTTCTCTTAGAACCAGACTTCTTAATAACCTGTTGATATAAATTGCTAAATATGATGAAAATAAGGTGATTGTTAGTGCTAAAGAGCTTGGAAATAACAAGATTTTAGTTCAGCTACAGAAGACCTGTCTATCAAAGGAGGGCATAGTGCGCTGCTGCAGTCTGTTCTGTCTTGTCAAAGCACTGTGAGATATGACCGTTAAAGATAGAAGATATGAAGCAATCACAAGGTTTTGGCCATATGTGATTTCTTAGCATTGGTCACGTTTGATGGAATCACGATGTTATGAATATTGAAGTCGAGTAAAGGGGTGAGGTTGTGAACTTTTATGGGCTGAGATAGCAAGGGTATATACTCCGAATGCCGAGTCGTCGCCTACCTCGAAGTGTCAAGTTAGGGAAACTAGACTACATTGGAAAATGGCTCAGGTTTGTCAGACCCTGACTTTTGTTGCAAGCTATTTAGTGGATATGAACTGTCTGGTTGGAGCCCTCTTGGTGAAATGCGTGGAAATCGGTCACAGTGGCAGAGATGTATTCACTCTTTGACGTCTTCGAAAGCTTGAATGTTTACACTGACTGTTATCTTCGAATTGTTTAGTCTCTCACATGCCTTTGTTTATTTTAATATCAATCTTTCCCACCTACTGCTTGTTTTGTATGTTCGACTATGAAGCATGGTAACTGCTAGTGATCCAGTTCTGTGTGAGGTTCTACGTTGATTCTGTCCGTTTGTCTGTCTGTCTTGAAAGTGAAAAAGGCAAAACTATTTATAATCTGGCGAAACATTATTCCTGTTCATAGAACCAGACTTGTATCACTGTGTACTAAGGTCTCAAACAAACCGCTTAAAGATAGTAGATACCATGACAAAATTGATCTTTTGTCACTGTGTTGTTAAACATACTAACAAGTGTTACTTCTTTTCTTTCGACATATCTCTTATTCTAGGCAACCAATATAGAATCGGGAACACCAGAAACTGGACCAACTGACAATACAAGTGGTGGTGTCGGTGTTGGACAATCACTTAATGGTGAGCTGGATCAGATGGATGGTATGCGATCTTTGACCTATTGGCACCGACTAATCACCCTTGTTGTCTCTGTACTCGAAGATGATCGAAAACACTACGCTCCAGTATTAAATCAGTAAGTTTTCACTAAGGTATTTATTATATACATCAGTGGTCTCATCTCATTACTAACTAATTGAAGGGAGGACTAAGTGCAGGTTAATATGGATGAATAGTATTCAAGCCAATAGAGGTTGAGCAATTCAACCTTGTACAGGAAATAAGTAGTATCAAAATAACAATAACTTACTTGTTGCACAAGAGGTGGTTGTCGTGCCATAAGTAGCCTAGTGGATAACGTTTTCGCATCTGAACTGATGGGAAGAACACTGCTCACTGAGAGATAGGTGCATCCAGCTGTTGAATCTCAAATGAGACGAAACGTGCATCAAGCTGGATTCCAATCCGAGTCACCAAAATAAATACGGTGTTCAAGCAATTTGTCAGCTATTTAAGTGAAACAGACTAATATGATCTTATGGTGAATAATCATAATTCTTACTGTTCAATACATACTACATTCAGGTTTACACTGATTAATAGGAACGTTATATACTACTAATGAATATGAGTAGTTGGAAACCAGTGAAACTACTTAGATATGACCTAAAACCTGAACAGTTAATTCTCATCCATTTTAGTCTGTTTATTAGAAATGTCACATAAAGAGGAAACAGTATTATTAACTGTATAACAAAGTTTCCGGCATTTAACTTATTTTAGAGGTAGTATTCATCACAGAATGACATCAGTTGGGGAACCATTGAAAGTGTGGTGGCACTGGACAGCTGTTTTGTCTTAATGTGGTAATCTTTGGCAGTATGCACCCATGACCCGCAACTTTGAGATAGAGTTTATACAGTTGTAAGCCTTTCTCCTTCGTCGTGATGACAAGGGTAGTGAAATTTTCCATATATATGGGACAGGTGTAGAGTCATTTCTATTACTGCATGTATTCGGTGTTGATTCGATGAATAAAGATTCAGTCGGTTATCAATCTCTCCCTCATTCCACCCAACTAAGTCAGTTTTTAATATTGTCGGTCTATCCCAACCTACTGTGTGATTGTATGTAGTTGCATGGACAGCCGTAGTCGAGCTGTTCTCCAAATTTCTTATTTTATTAGGATCTACCGAAGTTGATTTATTTAAGTTTTTGTACTCGGATGGCTTAATTGACCTTTAATCCATGCATTTAACCTTGCAATTATTTCAAGGGATTCGGTAAACTGAATTATTCTGCTGAATTGCATCAATAAGATATTTTAACGTGCAAAGCTTGTTTCTAAGCTCTTCTGTTGGTCAAAATTCCACTCGAATTCCGGCCTTATCAAGAATTGTTCGTTATGCTACTAAGGTGCTTTCTTTGTAAAGCAACACCGCTGCGGTTTTGAATTGTCTGTCAACTCCGTCACCATTATTATTATTAATAGTAGGATTCTACTACTTAGAAGCATTACAAAGAATTCTCAGTAAGGATGGCTGGGATTAAAGTGTTACTTCAACAATAAACTCTCTTAGAAACAAGCTTTGTACGTTAAAATATCTTATTGATGCAATTCAGCAGAATAATTCAGTTTACCGAATCCCTTGAAATAATTGCAAGGTTAAATGCATGGATTAAAGGTCAATTAAGCCATCCGAGTACAAAAACTTAAATAAATCAACTTCGGTAGATCCTAATAAAATAAGAAATTTGGAGAACAGCTCAACTACGGCTGTCCATGCAACTACATACAATCACACAGTAGTTTGGGATTACTATTATTATTTGTCCCGTGGAATCCTAATGGAACATAGGGCTTCACTAGCACCTCTCCAGTGAACTCTGTTCTCTGAAATCTTTTCAACCTGGCTCCACAACAGCCCAGAAGCTCTCATTTCCTCCTCACACCATCTCCTCCATGTCATCCTCGGACATCCAACTCGTCGCTTCCCATGGGGATTCCACTTGAGTGCCTGGCTTGACGCGTGATGTCCCCAGTCGGCCTTCTCAGTGTATGCCCAATCCATTTCCACTTCCTTCCAGTGCATATTTGTTGCGTGATAGGTTCTTGGTTGATTCGTTTCCAGAGTTCCTTGTTGCTTATTCTTTCTGGCCATCTGAGCTTCAGTAGCGAGCGTAAGCAGCTGTTGGTGAATGTCTGTAATTTATTGGAAATCCCTTTCTTAACGGGCCAAGTCTCTGAACCATACAGAAGTACTGACTTGACTGACTTGGTGTTGAAAAAGCCGGATCTTGTTCCACATGCTGAGTGCAGTATATCTCCACACCGGTTTCAGGCTAGTGAACCCCTGTCTTGCTGTCTATCCAATTCTGACTTTGACATCCTCGTCTGTGCCACCTGTAGTTGAAACAGTGCTGCCTAGATAGGTGAAGGAGGTATCTTCGTTTAAGTTTCTCCCTTTCATGGTGACTGGAGTTTGTTGTTGTTGGAGTTGTTGGTGCGGTATCTTCACCACCTCTGTCTTCTCTATATTCACCTTAAGTCCCGTCTTCGCTGCCCTGAATCTTCTGTCAACTTGTTAGTTTTCGCCTGCATATCTTCAAGTTTGTGTGACACTAGACCCATTCATCACTGGCGAAATCCAGATCTTCTAGGTTCTTCTCCTCAGTCCAGCCAGTGTACTCCCCTCTTCTCGCTCCCCACTGTTTGCTGCATGATCCAGTCCACCACAATCAGGAATATCATGGGTGATAGTAGGAAACCCTGTTTTACTCCTGTCTTCACTTCAAAAGTATCACTGAGCTTTCCTTTGTGAATTGCCTGGCATGTGGCTTCTTCATATAGTTTTGGAATGAGATTGATAAAGGTTTGTGGTATTCCATAATGTTGAAGCAACTGTCAAATTACTTGTCGGTCGACGCTGTCAAAAGCCTTCGCAAAGTCGGTGAAGTTGAGGTAGAGATTTGACTGGCATTCTGTACTCTGTTCTTTGATGATGCGAAGCGTTGCAATTTGATCCGCACATGATTTGTACTTCCCGAATCCAGCCTGTTCCGATCATAGTTTTGAATCCGGTGCATCCTTTAGTCTCTCCAGGATGATGCGGCTTAATATTTTGCTTGGGGTGGACACGAGCGTAATTCCTCGTCAGTTCTTGCAAACACTGAGGTCTCCCTTCTTCAGGAGTTTAACAAGGTAGCTTTTCTTCCAATTTGCAGGTACCTTCCCTTTCTTCCTTCCAGACCTTCTGCAATAGTGGTGTGCTGTGAGCATGTCCGCTGTTGTCTCTTCCTCTACACTCAGTGCTCGTGGCAGGATTCCATCTAGTCCTGCTACTTTCCCACATTTCAATAGCTTTATGGCGCTCAGGACTTCGACTTTTGTTTGAGGATTTTTGTTCACTTGTAGTTCTGTGGCTGGGCTGCAGGTGATATTTCTGAACGAAGTGCAGGTGTTGATCGATTCATGAGCTTCTTGAAGTGGTCAGCCCATCGTTTCCTTTGTTTCTCTTCTTTCGTAATTAGATTTCCTTCATCATCTTTTATTGGTTTCATCTGTGTTGATCTCTTCCCAGACAGTAACCTGGTTATTTGATACAATGTCGTCAGGTCTCTGTGTCTCCCACCTGCAGCCTGTTCTGCTTCATTTACCAGTGTGTAGTAGAAGTGTCTTTTGTCTTTTCACGCACTCCTCTTCACTTCTTTGTCCAGTGTTTTATACCTTGTACTCAGTTCCTCTTGTCGTTGAGCATCCTTGAACTAGTTTGTCTTCTGCTTCACCTTCCTCCTCTCACTGCTCTATCAGCTTCCATGTGTCCATCGAGATCCATTCCTTATCTTCTTACTTCTTACTTCCTTATACGGTTATGCAGGTTTCTTTCCATATAGCTTTCTAAGAGTTCCAGTGTTCTCCCACATATGTTTCTTTTGGGATGTTCCTCGATATCTCTCATTTTGTCTTGATAGCTGGCTGACGTGATGTCCTTTGTAGTTTTGTCCTTCAGTTTCTGAGTGTTATACTTGAACTGTAGTCTATCACCAGCTTCCTTGAAGGCTTTTAACTTGATTTGGAATGTTCTGTGCACTAGATAGTGAGTGGTGTGAACCACCTACATCTGCTCCTCTTCTTGACCTTGTGTCGAGTTGGCTGCATCTCCACTTTCTTGAGATTGAGATAAAGTCGATCTGATTTTTAGTGAAGTGTCTCCATCTGGTGAAATCAAATCGATGTCACTCGGTTTGTGGATATCCTTGTGCTTGAACACAGTGCCTTACTGCAATCACCAAATGGTTGAATGGACAGAGTTCTGCAAACAATTCTCCATTCTCGTTCATCACCTCACAGAGTGCTTCTCGACCCATGATTATTTCTCTTCGTGTGTTTTCCGCTCCCAGTTTGGCATTCATGTAGCCCATTAGAATTTTGATATCGCCAGCAGACTACTATGGAATTAAAATATACCACAGTGACCAGATTCTTTAGTAATTGCTGCTAAGATGATTTAAATCGCCTTAAAACTGATCAGCCGGTTAAAACAGACTGGTAACATCTCGAATGAAGGTCGGCATTTATGAAATTCTACTTCACAGGTGAAATTGTTTCAGACTGTTTCAGTTCATCAGTGGTTTGCCTTGGAAATCTCAGATAGATCTCCAATACGCATACTCGTTTGGTCATTTGGTTCTAATTGATTAAGTAATCAACCATTGTGTAGTAACCTTTTTGTTCTCAGCTATTTATGTGCATCCACATCCACACACATACATAGATGAGTTTTGTTCACACAGTTGAGATGTGAAGCAATTGCCTATGTAGTGATGTGGACTGTGTTGCTACATAGGCTTAGTTTTCTCAACTAGACTAAGCGTAGCTGTATGGTAGCTTCATAGAAAGGTTATTCTTTGGAACAGAACACAAAATAGGTTTCAACACTATGGTATCATCATACACAAGCAAGATACTTAAATAAGTTAGCACTTTAATATACTTGTCCAAATACTTTTCATAAGTTAACTAGTAAATCGTGTAGCTGTTGGTATATTGTGTATAAATTCCCACCTTTTCAATCTTTCCATAAGACGTTAGCTATCTCATCTTCTTTCTGAATTTGATGATATATTCAAATTAAATGGAAAGCAGCTTTAAAATCGTTAGAATCGTCAATGTATACTTTTCCATCAGAGTAATACATTTTCATTGTCTTTTAAAGTCAAAATAATTATCTTCTAGTTTCATAAAGAGGCGATTATTATAGAATGAATATCACATAATCGAGTGGATGATATTTAGAAACTTCTGGGATAATCTGTCTTGTTATCATCAAATTTTAATGATAGATAGGCGAAATTAGTGTAAAATCTCGCACTCAAGGGAATCACCTAACGTTGCCGCATTTCGCAAGAGTATACAATGAACAAGTGGATAGATACAGAGTTTATATCAAGTAGGCAAAGTTGTATTAGAGAACCAGCAGATATTCAAGGTTTAGAAGACATCAGAGAGTGAATACATCTGCACTGGTATGATCAATTTTCGAGGCATATCACCAAGAGTCAGTCTTCAATCACTGATTCGTTTCGTCTCGCTGACCTCAACCAGAAAATCTACACCTCCCTATGCGACTCAGATGAACAGTCAGAGACTTCACCAACTGATACTGCGTCTTGATTTGTTCATCCTGAACCCTTTTCTAACCTGATCCAACTTTTCCTAGCAAGGCGCTTTGAGGGATGTGGTGGTGGTGGTGACGGTGGAGGAAGTTTCACAACTTCGGATGTCGGATGTCTTCATGTCAGTGCTAGAGATGACGCAAGTTAGGAAATACCAAAAAAGGCTTCCTTTCTTCGACGGCCGATGGAACTCTAAGTAGGTGAAATGGTCAACACATTCTACCACTTCACTCGTTATCATTAAAAAACTGAAGATAAATGAAGACCAGTCTTGGGGCATCATCTTACATTTGACAGGTGTGAAACATATGGCAGTCAATCACACTGACAATCCTACTGAAAGCGTTCACAAGATCCTGCATTCTTTCATAGTCTTCAACTAGCAAGACAATATCATTTGCATAGTTTTAAATCAACTGCCCCAAAATAGTAAACAAGGTAGTTTGATGTTCTGCTGGGAACTTATCAGGAAACCTGGACAATTTCAATACAGTAAGAAGAAATAATCACTACCAGCTTATGGCGAATGATCTGAAATCGAGTCCCCATGTATATCTGCTTCTAATCGTCAACATGGTTGATTCCTAAACTGGTTGATCTATGCTTAAGGTGTATACTTATTGGGATGGAAATAGCTCACAGATGTTTACTAACCACTACCAACTTATAATTTGAAAAGCAATATACTTTCGACTGTAGTATTATTGTTATTACTTTTGGTTAAGCTAAACTTTACTGACGAGAAACCTTGAGGACAACCAGTCAGATGTGAGGCGATCTGTTCAAGCTACTGGTTACGTCCGCTTACTATGTTGCTCACGCTACATACACCAATGAACTATGCCAAAGATTACAATTCAGGTTGTATGTGAAATTTGGTGGAGTGGATAATGTGTTCGGAAAGATGATATAAATAGAACAGGGTAAATTATCATGCTTAGAAGTCACATATACCTTTATTTGAAATAAGTTACTCCCATTGAACTATTCCTCACAAGAAGTACTTCATTGACCACACAACTGGAGTGTGAACAAACAACTTTGAAAATATGTGCAGTCGTCTTAGAAAGTTCACTACGACGAATTATTTTCAAGGGTTGTACATTGTAATCAGTGTTACAAAAAAGAGACATTTATATATGCACCAATGGCTAATGGGTCGACACAAGGTCATCAAAAGTGGCCAGTAAAGTCACAAGTTGATTATGACTAGAAGGTTAAATCAAGGTCATCAAAAATTGATTATAGAATGGTAGTAAATGAACACAGAAATGAACAAACGATCTTAGAGAGATTGCGACCTAGGCAGAATTACAGATTGAATGTATCTTTCTTTCTTGAACACAAGGAGCAGGTTTGTAGTGATGGATTATCAGAGGTTCTGTTGTGTTTGGACAGAGAATACTCACTCACTTTGAAATGTTTGTCTTCACTTTATAAATGACTTTGAATGAAGACTGTTGTGGAGCACAGTGACCTCAGATAACCAAAGGCTGGAGAATTGAGCTGTTCACAGCTGATTCCAGGGTGTGTAAGCGATAAACTGCAGCTTTAGGCCAACTCACTGTATGTTTACCAACTGACCTGCTCTTGTGGAGCTGTACAAAGCTGCACACATCTTAGACTGCTATCCTGCATGGTTGTCTGAAGGATAGTGTAAAGCCGTGAACAGCTCAATTCTTCAGCCTTTGGTTATCTGAGGTCACTGTGCTCCACAACACTCTTCATTCAAAGTCATTTATAAAGTGAAGACAAACATTTCAAAGTGAGTAAGTATTCTCTGTCTAAACACAATAGAAGCTCTGGTAATCCAACACTATAAACTTGCATTTTGTGATCAACAAAGAAAGATACATTCAATCTCTAATTCTGCCTTGGTCGAAATCTTCTTAAGATCATCAGTCTCTGATGACCTTGATCTAACCTTCTAGTCGTTATCACCTTGTGAATGACTTGTCTTTAATTAATTTTTATTATCTAATGGAACTATATCTTCATTGCTCAAGTAAAGTAGATTAGTAAATTATAAATAAAGTAAAATTTTCCTTATTACTCATGTTGACCTTCATATTCTTGATTTTGATTGGTCAGTGCGTACTTGAACGTGATTGGTCACCACTAAAGTTTATTTGCACCTTATTTTCTTCTTATCTCTTTTCAGATTTCCTCATGAGATCAATTTAGGCGATATGTCAGCTGAAATGGTATGGAAGTGTTTATCTGAAGATTTAGCCAATGGTTTAGCTCAGCATACAGTCATAGCTAAATACTACTATAATAATAATGAAGAGGACAAATTACCTCAGATGGATAAACTACGAAATGGAAAACAGAATGGGAAAAATGAAATTGGCCTAAAAAGTGGAATGCATAAAATTAAGTCATCTGATTATATGAATCTTTGTTTTCGGGTAAAATGGTTCTATAATACCTACATAGCACCGCTAGCAAGGTTTAAAAATGTTGTCCCACAATATCCACGGTGAGTAAACTTCATACGATTACTTTTACGCTTCTTTTAGCTATGTGGATGAAACACTGGAAACGTTAGAGTAGTGGATAGCTGTTTCGCCCGAGCATGGGACTCCTCAGTTGTGCCCACCTATGACCCTACCAAAGACCAATAAATGAATAAATACCTACAAACCTCAAAATCGAATCAATCTACTTCTCATTGGTGAGTAGCTCCCCGAGGTGAGTCCTGAAGTTCCGATGACAAGTCGCGACCCGTGGCGCCAACCAAGCCAAACCTGAGGACAGTTGGTCAGCGACGGTATTAAATGGAGATTTCACTATGTAGTGAACTGATAGAATTAGGAAATATGGATGATTTGATCGCGACCCAGTGGCTAGCTCAACGAGAAAGTGTTGGTCACAGAACCTGAAGATTCAGGATTCGGTCCCTGTCAGGGTGGTGGTAAGGGTGTTCGCTGCTAGGACAAAACAGCCGGCTATCCAGTGCCCCTTGTTTCCAATGTTTCTCCAACTACTTCCAATCCATGATGAATACCAACTTGATACAATAAGGATATTGTAATGGAGTATATATGTGTCAGACAACCAGATAGGTAAATATACGAGTTAAGTAATGTTGCTACACTCCACGGTAATGAGCTATAAAATTGACTTTGGCAGAACTAACATTCTACCAAATGGGTTAAGGTCATACGAATAAACATTGACAGCCATAGCCGTACATGCATAGGCAAATTCAAATAGTCTGAACTGACTAGATGGAGTACAGTTACCTGCCTCTCTTGACAATTACCAATTAGTAAGCAGAAAGAGTGACTATAAATATTTGCCTTCAACACCAGTCTCTCATCTATATTATTTCTGCATCAGCAACAACACAATTAAGATTGTTTTGCTTCATTATTGTCATTATTATCACCTCTATCATGACTACCATTCATTTCCAATCTCCATAAATCAATCGAAATGACATATATGTCCAAACTTAAACCGCAGCCGGATTCGAACCACTGATAGATGGGAATCATATTGATTATAATGTTGACTATGTGAGATAGCAGCCATGATTTGACAGAATAATATTGATACTCTTAGATAGTTAAAATGATGAACAATATGATGCTTCCCTCTTCTCTAATTCAGTTAGATTTGAATTAGGATGAGAAGTCTTGATTAGATAGTTAGTATGAATACGGACGATTAGGCGATAGTAAGGCGTAACGATTTCGCATAGTAGTCGTCATATGAAACCCTTGGTGATTGAAGCGAAATCAAAAATCTTGTCGACAGTCGGACCTCGTAACTCAGAAGGTGTAGACCACTGAGCAGATAAACTGGTTGGTAGCTGGTTCGAATCCGACCGCGGTTCAAATTTTTATTACACATTCAATCATCATCACTCAGTATCAACCTAAGGTTAATGCTAACTAAGAGCTAATGTGAGTAGAATTTAGATAATTAGGTCAAAGGTGTTAAATGCAACAAAACAAAAGTCCTCTGAATGCCAAAGTTCAATTTTAAGTCCCTAATGGCTAACGCTTCGTCTTGTTTACCAGTTAACTAGTTACTAGCCAGTCCTAATCCCTGATAAAGATGCAAGGTTGGGTATAGGTTTAGCAAACCTACCCCTGAAAATCAATTCAATCGCTAAAAAAACTTAAAAGCACAGAGAAAATAAGAATAAACTTTGTCCTCCCTGAAATCAGGGAGCCGTAATGAAGCCAGTTTGTGAAAGCCTTCGGCAATCCAATTGCCCGAAGTGTCTTCTCCTTCTCGATGAAAGTAAAAGTACGCTAAGAAAAACGAAATGTCTGCGCAGTGTTTAAAGTTGGCTGGCAAGATAACCCAGATTAAAAAAAAAGGAGCACATATGCCAAAAGAAAGGGGAATAGAATGGAAGTCAACTCTTCACATCACATTCGAAGGCCTCAAATGGAAATGAATTTGGCAAGTGCTTCAACACACGGTTTCAGTCTAACAAAGCTCACTCAACATTTTTATGATAATTATGATACTACATGGCAAGTGACAATGGAAAGCTCATTAATGCATATGAGGTGAAGACAGGAGTTACACGAGGTTTCAATATACTATTATCATCCATGATCTTACTGATTGGAATCGACTGGACGATGCAACAAATTATGAAGCGTTGTGAGAAGATGGGCATACGCTGTTTGACCAATGTAAAGACTCTAGAATGTTTGCATTTCGATCATGATGACGTATGTCTCATGTCTTATGTCGTACAAACTCGAAGATATACACGCAAAAAATAACAAGTTGATAGAAGAGAAGAGACAAGTCAGCGAAGGAAGACAGCACTTCCTTCAAGTGAACGTTGAGAAGACACAGGTGATGAAGATACACAACCACCACCAACAACACCAACACCAACAATAACAACAACAACAGCAGCAACAACAACAACAACAGCAATGACAAGCACCAATCACCATGGATGACAGAAATCTGAAGGAAGTTGTCTCTTCCACCTATCCACTCACATAGGCAGCATCCTTTCTACTACACACGGTGATGGCGATGGCGATGGCGATGGTTATGGTGGCGGATGGCGGACAGATGACGACGTCAAAGCCAACCAGAATCGGAAAGATAGCAAGACACGTCTTCATGCATTATTCTGAAATCAGTGTGGAGATCTACTGCACTCCACCACTGCACTCAGCATAAAGTGTGAACAACATCCCGACTCTCAAGACTAATGCCAGTCAAGTAGGTCAGTGCTTCTGTGTGATGGTTGAGAGACTTGACGCATCACGAAAGCATTTCCAGTAAACTACAGACATTCATCAATAGCTGCTGCCTACACTCCATACTGATGATCAAATGGATGGTCAGAGAGAATAAACCAGAGGGAAGTCACTCTGCCAACGAACCAACGAAGCGAGAATCAGTCACGCAATAACAACGAATATGCAGAAGACGATGGTGGAGATGGATTGGATTGCATTGCATTGCATTGGATTGGATTGGATTTGATTTGATTGGACATAGACAGTTAGGGGATAGATATCACGTATCAGGTGAGGTTGTTGAGTGGAAGGTGAATGGGAAACGATGAGTTTGGCGTGTTTGGTGAGGGTGATATGGAGGAGATTGTGTGAGGAGTAAATGAAAGTGTATTGGTAGTGGTGGAGTCAGGTTAGGAATATAGTGGAGAAGAGAGTGGAATAGTAATGTGCTACTGAGTCCTTATGTTCAGCTAAGTATCCAAAGGACAGATAAATATTATCAATAATGGCTAACGCTTCAGGGAAAAGCAACACATTCGAACTAATACATTGATTATTTATTGTTTTGAAGGATTTCTGAATATACCGACTTCATATCTACTATGAATAAGGTGATGAGCGACAGTACTGTTGAAGATTTTTCCGCCTCTCTTAGTAGCAAATTTTTTTTGGAATATCCTGAGATATACGATCACAACTTCTTCATTCTGTTCGTCCAATGTGTATATGCTTTGGCAGATAAGTGCTGATTGGTATAATTTTTCATTCTTTAGGGATTAACTCACCATAGATTGACATGATAACGAACTTAGAGCATATTTATCGAGTACGTCATATCTAATACTACTGTTTTGTTCTTCTCTACCGTTACCTGCTTACGTTGTTCACTACCTGGTAAAATTTTAGTTGGTTCGAAGGTCTTGTATTAATTTGGTTATCTGAGAATGATGAAGTATCAGCTAATTATCTTCGCAATGCATATGATCGTGATAAACAAGATGGTTTCCAATGTTCCAGTGAACATGTATTATACTCAAACTCGGTTGTTGATGTATTCACTCAACTGAATCAATGTTTTGATGTTATTCGTAAACTTGAATGCCCAGACAAAGAGGTGGAAGGACACTTTCTACATAGATTTTCACTGGTAAGCAACTGAATCTTTTTTTTTTTACAAAGTTTTGTATGTGTAATTTATCCATCTATCTGTAATGTGTGTGTGTGTGTGTGTGTGTGTGTGTGTGTGCGATTGTTAGGAAGACTTAGAGCAAGAGAGGATAAGAACTTAAGGCATTTATCGATAAGTGTCTCCTTATCAGTAATCGTCGAGTATTTTACTATTTTACTACTATATTTCATATCAATATGAATGATGGATGGTGGCTATCAGTGGAATGTAAACCTGAATAAACATCAAAACATTTTAATGAATATTAAACACAATATAACTTGTAATCTTGATAAAAAATGTCAAATATGTCAGGTATGTTTTTTTTAGATTATACTTCAAAAATCGATTGTGTCCCAAGACATCGTTTGCTGCAGAAGACAGACGGGATAAATACTGAGTCCTGGATAGTCAGTTGACTGAAAGGAAACTATATACTGTTTACAGAGGGAAGCGCTCCACCTCATTGCTTACTGTGGCTGGTGTTCTGCAAGGTGCTTTCTTTTCCCTCTGTCCTCTCTCTTTCTTTCCTGAACGACTTATCGTCTTCGGTTTGTATACCTGTCTACTTTCCAATCGATTGTTCCCAAGTAAATGATTCCCTATCTACTGTTAGACGATGGTCCTCTGTGAATGGTCTTGTCTTGAATTCTGTTAATGATTGTGCGTTAGAGAATTCTACAAGGGTGATACATCTTGGTGCATGTATTTCTACAGACTTTCCCTGGTCCTTTCATATCTTATTAATTTCCGAAAGAATCTTCCATCTAACTTACCATATGAAGAAACTAAGACAATCTGGTATAGAGCAGCCTCTTCACTTGTGCTTTATGAACTCTTCTATCTTGCTTATTCTCTTCTCTATTGTTCCCCTTTATTTTTTCGTGAGTGATTGATAAAAGACTATGCTATGTACAGAACTTTGAATATTGTCAGGTGAATTTGAGTAGTTTCTCTTTAAACATTCTAATTGAAACGGTTGTGTGCAAACATCTTAATTCATGTGAACATCTGACATCAGTCATTTTATCAGATGATCACGATTCTCTTCACTCAACCCCAACATTGTGTGTCAGTCAAGTGAAAAGACAAGAAGCATGTGCACAAGAGTTTATACACGTACTACTAAATATGAAAAGTCTACAATACAGACTGTGCTTACCTCATCCACTTTTGTTCTTCTGAAGAAAAATTAATTGAAGATAACATAACTTGATGTTATTCCATCAGCATATATATAATTGCGACTGAAACTGTTCACCACCTAACTTGATTATCGATTTACAAGAAACTATTGTTACCATTATCAATATTATTAGTTGTCACTAAGGTTCCTAGTGAAACATATGGCTTCAATAGCACATCACTATTCCACTCTCTTCTCCACTATATTCCTAACCTGACTCCACCACTACCAATACACTTTCATTTACTCCTCACACAATCTCCTCCATATCACCCTCACCAAACACGCCAAACTCATCGTTTCCCATTCACCTTCCACTCAACAACCTCACCTGATACGTGATATCTATCCCCTAACTGTCTTCTCAGTCTATGTCCAATCAAATCAAATCAAATCAAATCAAATCCAATGCAATGCAATGCAATCCAATCCAATCCATCTCCACCATCGTCTTCTGCATATTCGTTGTTATTGCGTGACTGATTCTCGCTTCGTTGGTTCGTTGGCAGAGTGACTTCCCTCTGGTTTATTCTCTCTGACCATCCATTTGATCATCAGTATGGAGTGTAGGCAGCAGCTATTGATGAATGTCTGTAGTTTACTGGAAATGCTTTCGTGATGCGTCAAGTCTCTCAACCATCACACAGAAGCACTGACCTACTTGACTGGCATTAGTCTTGAGAGTCGGGATGTTGTTCACACTTTATGCTGAGTGCAGTGGTGGAGTGCAGTAGATCTCCACACTGATTTCAGAATAATGCATGAAGACGTGTTTTGCTATCTTTCCGATTCTGGTTGGCTTTGACGTCGTCATCTGTCCGCCATCCGCCACCATAACCATCGCCATCGCCATCGCCATCACCGTGTGTAGTAGAAAGGATGCTGCCTATGTGAGTGGATAGGTGGAAGAGACAACTTCCTTCAGATTTCTGTCATCCATGGTGATTGGTGCTTGTCATTGCTGTTGTTGTTGTTGCTGCTGTTGTTGTTGTTATTGTTGTTGTTGGTGTTGTTGGTGATGGTTGTGTATCTTCATCACCTGTGTCTTCTCAACGTTCACTTGAAGGAAGTGCCGTCTTCCTTCGCTGACTTGTCTCTTCTCTTCTATCAACTTGTTATTTTTTGCGTGTATATCTTCGTGTTTGTGCGACATAAGACATTAGACATAAATCATCGGCTCCTATCAGATAAGTACATTAAATATCCGAGGAGAGAAATACTTTCTTCCTGCGTTCAATCCTACAGTCGAAAACTTTGAAAATGTCCTGCATAAATCCTTGCTGGTTACTGGATAGAATTGTTTCCGGTGTACTATATGAATAACATACTAATTTCAAACTCAGCATATAATGAAAGTGAAACCTGGACATCTTGTTGTTTTTTTTCCTTTCAGCCACTTGTTTATGCGAAATTCAATATTGTTACTTCTTTTTCAAAACACCTATTGAGTGAGTACTTGACTGAAACTCTTCTTATCTACGCCACTGTACATAACCTTCTATCACTCGAATTCTGATGGTAGAGGTAGTTGTATTAAGTTGGAAGAGAGTTCATGGTGAACATATCAAGATATGTCATCATTCCATAAAGTCTAACTGGTTTCCTAGGGTGTAAGCTGTCTGACTGGGATTCTCAAGATAACGGAAAATTGGTCACACTGAGGTAGATCTATTCACTCTTTGATATCTCCTAAATCTTTAAGTGTTTTGAATAACCTTTATTTTTTAGTTCTTTTCCATATAAACCTCTTTGTCTACTTTGATCTGGGTCTTTTTCTATGCAACTGTTCGTTGTATACTACTGTAAAGTGTAGTAACTTGAACTGATGACTTTATGTACCAGGTTTGACACTGATTTTGTCTTACCAATGTCTGTATACATATATCCTGAAAACTAGTTTCTGACAAAGAGCTTATTGGATAATGACATGATACTGTTTTCATGATATCAATTTGAAATCAACAAGTTTTTTCATGGAACAAAATGTGGGAGATAAGCAGTCAAAACTTCAGTTCCAATCTCTCTTTCTTTCGCTAAGTCGACAACAATTTCTGCAAGAGCTTTGATACGAAATGATTCTATTCCACTTGACGACAAAATAACAATTATATGACATCATAGAAAATAAATACAATTTGTATATCATAAGTTGCTTGGACAGGTGGCCAGAAAGAATAAGCAACAAGGAACTCTAGAAGTGAACAAACCAAGAACCTATCACCCAACAAATATGCGCTGGAAGAAAGTGGAGATGGATTGGGCATACACTGAGAAGGCCGATTGGGGACATCACGCATCAGGCCAGGTCGGGCCCTTGATTGGAATCCAAAAGGGGAAACGACGAACTGGGCGTCCGTGGGTGACATAGAGGAGATCATATGAAGAAGAAATGAAAGCTTGTGGTCAGTCGTGGTGCCAGGTTCAAAAGACTGCAGAGAAGAGAATGCAATGGAGGCGTGCTACTGAAGCCCTATATTCCACTAGGTACCCAAGGGAAAAGTAATAAAATAACAATCCTAAGTTGCTTAGAGGTGGCTAGTCATGGAATCCAAGATGAGGATTTCCTTTATATGTGAGAGTCATGCATCAGCTACATGTACATCTGCACTCCGGCAAATTATAATGGAATCAATAATTAGACAATATAAGGCCATCCATAAAGGAGCCCATATATTAATATAAGTTGATGAATTCAATCCAGTAAAAAATCTCATAGGCTTATAACTTTAATTCGATTTAGAGGTTTTTGAGGATTTATTGATTAATTTCAAGTTGACATTCATCATGGACTGAGTAACACCATTTGAAGGAACACTGAAAAGCTGGGAGTACTGGATAACTAGCTGTTTCAGGTTAGTATAGGACTCCTTAGCAATGCACACCCATGACCTTGCTGCAACAGGGATCGAACCATGAGTCTTCAGGTTCCATGACCAACGCTTTACTGTTGAGCTAGCCACTGGGTTGCAATCCAATGATCAATATATCCTAATTCTATCAGTTCACTATATAGTGCAATCTTCATTTAATACCGTCGTTGACCAACTGTCCTCATGTTTGGCTTATCTGGCACCACGGGTCACGATATGTCATTGAAACTTCATGAATCACCCGGACGAGTTAGTCACCAATGAGCACAAGATTAATTAGATATAGCGGTTGTGGAGATACACTAGTTGATTTTGAATTGGTATTCATTATGAACTGACACCGGTTTAAATTGAACGTTCAAATTCCTTGTTTCCTTGGAGTGAAATTTTAATTAGAAAGCTATTCATTGTCAAATTTGGCATCTAAACCTAGAAAAACTGGTCAGATATTTTATCCTCGTACGGAACACCTCAGCCGTATGAACCCACTACCTCGCCACACTACAAATCGAGCTCAAACTCGAAGATATACACGCAAAAAATAACAAGTTGATAGAAGAGAAGAGACAAGTCAGCGAAGGAAGACGGCACTTCCTTCAAGTGAACGTTGAGAAGACACAGGTGATGAAGATACACAACCATCACCAACAACACCAACAACAACAATAACAACAACAACAGCAGCAACAACAACAACAACAGCAATGACAAGCACCAATCACCATGGATGACAGAAATCTGAAGGAAGTTGTCTCTTCCACCTATCCACTCACATAGGCAGCATCCTTTCTACTACACACGGTGATGGCGATGGCGATGGCGATGGTTATGGTGGCGGATGGCGGACAGATGACGACGTCAAAGCCAACTAGAATCGGAAAGATAGCAAAACACGTCTTCATGCATTATTCTGAAATCAGTGTGGAGATCTACTGCACTCCACCACTGCACTCAGCATAAAGTGTGAACAACATCCCGACTCTCAAGACTAATGCCAGTCAAGTAGGTCAGTGCTTCTGTGTGATGGTTGAGAGACTTGACGCATCACGAAAGCATTTCCAGTAAACTACAGACATTCATCAATAGCTGCTGCCTACACTCCATACTGATGATCAAATGGATGGTCAGAGAGAATAAACCAGAGGGAAGTCACTCTGCCAACGAACCAACGAAGCGAGAATCAGTCACGCAATAACAACGAATATGCAGAAGACGATGGTGGAGATGGATTGGATTGGATTTGATTTGATTTGATTTGATTTGATTGGACATAGACTGAGAAGACAGTTAGGGGATAGATATCACGTATCAGGTGAGGTTGTTGAGTGGAAGGTGAATGGGAAACGATGAGTTTGGCGTGTTTGGTGAGGGTGATATGGAGGAGATTGTGTGAGGAGTAAATGAAAGTGTATTGGTAGTGGTGGAGTCAGGTTAGGAATATAGTGGAGAAGAGAGTGGAATAGTGATGTGCTATTGAAGCCATATGTTTCACTAGGAACCTTAGTGACAAATAATAATATTGATAAAATTAATAAAGTTTATAGTGATTTCGTTTTCAGCTTTGTACTCGACGTGAGTTGATATCGTGTAGAGAATTAGTGAAAGCCTGGGAGCACTGGAGAGACATTACTTTCTCGGATTCAGCTCTTATACTCTACGTGTCCATGACATCGTGAGAGATTTGAATGAATGAAATGTTTTGGAAACCTCATATCAAGACATATTTTGTGTTTTGGTGTTTTTCTATATAGCCCTTTTTATCTTTTAGGGAAAACAAGTGAACATTGAACATGATTTATCTGTTCATCGATCTTTGTATCTATTTGCGATATATCATTTAATCAGATCGACTAAAACGAAATCAAACAAGCTTGTTGATTTAATCGGTCTGTTTTGAAGATGTTTGAGAAAAGAAAAATGGAAATGAGATTTAATAACACAATTTTTCGATATCATGGTTTATTTAAAATTTTCTACAAACCAACAAAAACTGCGGAAAAGCAAACGGAGAAATGCGTAGGTTTTTAACTTGTTTATTGACAATTTTAAGGATTTCCGTTGCCCAAATAGTGACTGTGTTTCCGCAGTGGCCTGATGGATAACGCTTCAATGTTTGAAGTGATGGGTATAAGGTTCATGTCTGCACAGTGGGGAATAACACCACTGTTCACTGGGATGTGGGCAATTCCAACGACAAGTCAGCCCCAAACAGGTTGAAACAGGTGTTCTAGATTCCACTGCTATCCATCAAAAAGACTATAATATAATGAATATCCGATCAGTATCTAGGCGTTTCCATAGCAGTCCATCTACTGACAGACAAGTAATTCCACCCTGTATAGCAATTGAAAATTGCAAGTATCATTTACAACAACTGATACCCGTTGCACTAGAGATGACTATCATATCCCATTGACCTAGTGGATAACGCTGCTTTAGTCTTTGATGCGATAGGTATGAGGTTCAAATTTCCTCATTGGGAACAACATCACTCACTACAGTTCAGATACATCCTAGTTGACGAGTCTCAAATTGGACGAAACGTGAGTCATGAATTCCACTGCTACTCACCGAGTAGACTACAATTTTAACCTATTATTCACTTGGTCATTTCACAAAAATGAAATTTTATAAAAGAAACCACACCAAGTAATCTAGTAAGCAACATCAACTAATCAAAATCACGTTTGAACGTGTTCAAACAATCAAATGTAAGTGGTATGTACATAAGGTACTTCATTATACATGTTACTAGGGTATCTGTTTCACTTTTGTGTGATGTAACATTATCATCTCCAGATGTAACTGAAAGGTGTAGTATTAATGGATTGTGGCTGGCAGTGGAGTCAAGGATACGCGTTTCATCTTATTTGAGACTCGGTAATCAGATGAATGGATTTGATCCACCGCCAGTGACTGATATTCTTCCCCCTGAACCAATCACTCCAACCGCTAGAACGTTTTCCAATAAGCCACTGAGCCACGATAGCTACCACTTGTTTGGCGAGTATAGGTTTTATGTTGTTACTTGTAAAATCCTGTCATTGATAAAAAGTGTAGTCTTGTTGAGGTCTTCAAATGACCTCGAAATGTTGATACAATTCAAAGAAACTTTTTTATTCAAGTTGTATTCAATCGTCGTTGATTCGACTATGCATTATTACTGTATATAATTCAAAAAAGGCAACATCGAGGCATCCTCATAGGAGTCCATACTACAATACAGACCAATCAATTCTGTCCAATCAACAACGGTAATAATACAAGCAATAACACACAAGAAGTGGTTATCGTTGCTCGGTGCTCTAGTATATAATGCTCTCGCGTTTGAAGCAATCCCTCCCGAGTTCGAATTTAAGTGGGAACAATACTACTCATTGGAGAGGCAGGTAAAACCAGCTGACGAGTCGCAAATAAGACAAAACGCGCATTCTGGATTCCACAGATAGCCACCATCCATTATTACTATATATAAGCAAGATCTTCCTTAAAATTCTCAGAGAACTAAAAGTACTTCATTTAAATTTAGAAATAAAGCTAGTGAAATTTAGTTAAGCTAATTGAAGTGAGTGAGTGAATACTCTGCTTTAAACCTGATACTCACTTCACTAAGCCATGAATATCAGAAGACAAACATCGACAAGTGACTTTAAGGGAGACGCTTTATTCAACAAAAACGTACATCATTTAGGCATAATTTTCATAAATATATGAAACTACTAGGTCGAAAATTGGATGTCTGTTTTGATTGATCAACTGAAAGATAAAATCATTAAATAAGGTTTTTCTTGATCGTTAAATAAAAATAGTTTATATGTATATCACTTCAAACTTGGTTGAATGTTAGTATAATTGGTTTTATATGATACCGTCGTTGATTGGACCGAATTGATCGACCCACGTACATCCAGCTGATGAGTCCCAAATAGGACGAAATCTGCATCCTGGATTCCACTGCTAGCCACGATCCATCATTGGTTGAATGTTGGATAAAAATGTTGCTTTTTTTATCATTAACCTGCTTAGTAAAGTTTGAACTGACTGATAATCAATCATCAGTCATCAACTATCCTGTAACCTAAATTTCTTCACCTTCCTTAATATAAACATGAAACTTGGGCACTGGCAGAATTTAATTCCATATTAGATTTGTTTATTTGATGTATAACACACAGTGACACAGTATGCTATTTACTGGATGACGTTTCGAGCATAGATTACTATTGCTCACAATCATATCAATGTGTAATCACACTCCTTTCAATATGTGATTTTTATAGTCCTATCAACCACCTCTTATTCTTTGTTTCTATTGGTAGTAAAGTTTTCTATATCTCTGGTATGCATACATTGGGTGTTGCATAATTTGTATTACATGTGTTGGATGGGTGTTGATTGGATGAATAAAGATTGAGTAATCAATCTCTCCCTTTTTCCACTTAATGACAATGAACTTAAGCACAGTGGCTTTATCCCACCCACGCCATTGTGCATTGCGATAGCCGAGTTACTTTCTAGATTAGTGATCTCGTTGGGGTCTATCATTCTATATTTAGATAAATTCCCATGTTCCCCTTCTCGAACTGACCCCGACCGCCTACTTTGACCTATGTAGTTGACCTGACTCACAGTGATTACATGCAGTTTGATAGATTAGATTATTTTGTTGAATTCGTTCTATCAGAGTCTTAAGCCAGGCGACAAAGCTAATCTCTAAATGAGTTTGTAGGTTTGAATGCCACCCCAACTAATTCCAACTTTGTTGATGATCCCAAATAAGGCTTCTGATGTACCTTCCTTATAGAGTAACACAGTGCAGGCCGTCAACTCGATTCTTCTCACACATATAGACTCAGTAGTAGTCGCAATCCAATTCACTTACGAGGAAGTAGAAAATGAACAAGGAGAGTTACCTACCTTTGATTTCAGGATAAAACGAAGAACAGACTGTGGTTCGGATACTACCTACCGTCTACAGAAAACCAACACATCCTAACAGGTATTCTAGACTTCAAGTCATGTCATCCAATGTCAGTCAGTGAAAGCAGGTTCAGTCAAATATCTAAATGATAGAGCTAGAAAACTCACTAATCAGTGGAAGGACTTCAACGAACAATTGAAACATGTAAAAGGAGCCTTAATAATTATCCTCTACAGTTTACTAAGGGATTCGTACAAATACATAAGAAACGAAATAATAACGATGAGACAAGTAGAAAGGAGTTCACAGTCTCCATTGTCTTACCCTACCAAGAAGCAACATCAGAAACTTTACTTGGGATCATCAACAAAGTTGGAATTAGTTGGGGTGGCATTCAAACCTACAAACTCACTTAGAGATAAGCTTCGTCGGCTGGCTTAAGACTCCGATAGAACGAATTCAACAAAATAATCTAATCTATCAAACTGCATGTAATGACTGTGAGTCAGGTCAACTACATAGATCAAACTAGCCAGTCGGTGTTATATTAGAATAGTGCAACATAGGAATTTAACCAAATATACAATGATAGACTTCAATAACACTAAGTAAATAACTAACCAACCAACTAACTGACTAGCTAAATACTGTGTACTTCAGGACATTCATTACCGAAGTCAAACATCATGAGTGGTCAGTCATTTCTGTTGCTGTATGTACTTCAATAAACAAAGATTCTATAATGTCTTTACCTGTCAATAATGACGTCTGTCTGCCTCCTATGCCTATTGGATTAGAATTACTCCTGTAACTCAATAACCGTTACTGTGTATGGATAACTTTAAAGGCCGCCTTAGCAACGGTTGGTATAGCCAACTGAATCTCTTTACTTCTTTTAGACAGGTAGTTTTTTTCAGAAAATGTAGACGCTTGATTGCATGTTGAAGTAGTTGTTAAGGTGACCTTTCAGGTTACTTCCATATCTTAAACTTAATTAGAAGAACTTGGTTATCAGTTATCGCATATTTGCAGTCAAGATGATTTATCATTTAATATCCATTCAATCGTTGTGATTAAAAATTTCCTGTTATCCTATATGTAAACACTTTCAGACTGTAGAAAAAGTTCTACTAGCCTATGCAGATCGTGTTTTAGCTGACTTTCCAATGTATAAATCTGATCAACGTGTTGCCTGTATCCTAGTGAACAATACACAACAACTTCGAGTTCAACTGGAAAAAGTTTATGAGAATATGGCACGTGAAAGGTGAGGTTAGCATTTCTGTCAGTTGTATATATAAATATCTTTATGAGTATAACTACGTACTGTTGTCTTTTCATCATTATGTGCTCTGTGATTAGTAAAACTATGAACTAGACAGTGAAAGGAAATGTCAGAACTCTGGTTATACTGTTGAAGAGCGAATTCATTTAATGTCAATGATTTCACGTCCATGGGTCATTTAATTTTTAAGTTATTATCGCTTAGAAAAAAGACAGATTGAGCAAGCGAAGAAATATACTCCTTTTTCAGTTAGGTCTTCGTCTTCATCTCTACACTAATATATCTACAAGTTTATAATTTGAAATACATTTGGACCATGGTAATAATTTTTTTAAGCGTTATTTTCTACCTCTTCCCACTCACTCCATGTGTCACTTGTTGTCCAATCAAAATGGAGAAGGAAACATCCCATGAGATTAGTTGCACGAAATCACAAAGTACTATAAAACGGAGCAAACTGAGGATGGGTTGTTTCGTTTTATGCATGATGTCCGACGATACCGTGCAAAGTGTTGTAATCAAAAACGAATCAGTCTTTATGGAACATTTTTGTCTCGCCGCTTTTCCGTCCTTAGAGTCTTTGAAGGTTGCCCAAAAGGAGTATAAGAAGCAAACATACACGCACCACGTTGTACGAGATTCATATTTGCAAGGTGACCGAAGACACTATGTCACGTTTGTTTACTTTAAGGCTAGTGGACACCGATCAATCGATGGTTTAGTGACAAGAATGTCAGTCCCGTTTGTTTTGATTATATATTTCGTAGAATATCCCTGAAATGTGTGTTAATGAACAAAAATTATAGTCATGAAGGTGAAAAGGTTTTAGAAATTAACACGCAAATCATCAATAGACTAGTTGAAATTGGTAGCATATGAAGCAGGTTATTCTCAGGTAAATGGAGTGATTTTTTATGAGTCTTCAGTCATAAACTATTACGTAATACTAATAAACCAGATGAATATTGATAGAAACAACAGTCGGGAGGGGGAAGAGGTGTACAAAGTAATCCTAGAAATTATATCATGTTATGACGGCCAAGGTAATCAAAGTGGTTGAACAAACTTCTTCTGAATACAAAGGTTAGGCTTGTAAAGGTGGATTACAATCACCTCTGCTATGTGAAGTAAGCGGATGCGTAATCCATGTAGGTGGTAAATTAATTGGAATGTGCTAAATAATTTTCAAGGCTTTTCTAGTATGTCTGGAGCTCTTTATTGTTCTAATATGTCCCTTGCTCAACCGGGATGGGTGGTGCTCAGAAATTTAACGATCGACCTGTCTCATTGTACACCCAACAGGAGTAATTGAATTGACAAATGGACATGTAAGTGGTAGAATCAAGCAGTTTGTCTTTATTTCCATCTGTGACCTGCTTACTAAGAATGGCTACCCAGTGAAGTTTATAACTAAGCATATGAATTAATTGGTTGGTTGTGGCTAGCAGAAGAATCCCGGACGCGTGTTTCGTCCTATTTGGGACTCGTCAGCCGGATGCACTTTCACCCCAGTCATGTTGTTCCCACTGGGACTCGAGCCTCGTACCCAACGCACGTCCTGAATTCTTCTGCTAGCCACAACCAACAAAATTATCATAATTAACATTCAGGCAATATCGAGGTATCCACATAGGAGCCCATATGCCAATAGAGGTCGAACAATTCGATCCAACAAAACAGTGGAGAATAACAAGTATGTCAATAAATAGTAATAAGCATATGAACGTTATGAAGGTTAAGATAAGATTAACAATCGATGCAAAACCAGCCAATGATTGTCATCCCAGAAATTATGTTAATCAATAAACGGAATCTAATTTGATGGATGGTGACTGTTAGTAGAAGTTGGGACGTGAATCTCGTTCTATTTGGGAGTCACTAGTCGGCTGGATATATCTATATTTCAATCAGTGATGTTGGTTGAAATGCCACAGTCCTATCCAATAGGCTACTGAAGCACATTATTATTATTATTATTATTATTATTATTATTATCATCATCATTATTACTATTATTATTTGTAGCAGCTGGTCCCTTTGATAAATTTAAACAGCGTAATGAGAAGACGAAGATTATCTGAAACGTGTGATGTATAAGAGCTATACATTTCGAACTGTCTGATCACACATGAACTTGTCACGCTGTTTATATGAAAATTTTCGAAAGGGGTCAATGAAGTCAATAGGAAACATACAGGAATAGGAAGGGCAGAGAAAGAGAAAAAGAACGTTACTCTTCATATGAAAATTAATACCAGGGTAGATTCAATATGTGTACAAATTGTTTTTGTATACATAAAGGGGGTTTGAATTTACGGATGGCAAGAGTTTCAATGAATTTAAGCACTCGCCTCTGACCACTTTTATGTAGTACTTTGAAGGCTGTTTTCATGTCTATCCTATAGTTAAAAAATTTCCCCACCCTATTTTTTTTGTTCCACCTTACTCGCACAACGGAAAAATCTCTCTGACGAAGTTGTCTACTCACTCATCTGTATTACATCGATCTATGCTCCATATCACTATGTAATTGGATGATTGTAAAGGTCACCACTTTGTGTACCAAAACTTGAATATTAACCTGAAAACTTAGTGTCAGATTCATACTCTTGAAAAGGATCTTCCTAGCAAGATCGAAACGTTGAGGAATAATACAAAATATTTGTTTATTTTGTTATTTGTTCTAATATACTACGCCGGGATTACACAAGCGAAAATACATCCCATACAATGAATCATACTAACTCGGTGCCCAAGTTTTTTCAAACCATCCAGTCCATTGTTGGCCAGGATACCTTCAAACTTATCCTATAGTTAGTTTCTAGTATATGTTTAGAAATAGACGAAGATGGATATTTATCACCTGCTCTTATCGAATCTGTTGAGGTCATTTGTTTTTTATACCAGGCTCTTAGGTACATGTTCAACCTTCCTTGATTGCATACCACGATTACTCCTACCTATATATGGGTGTCCACACAGAAAAACTGAACCCAAGAGAGAGCACCTTTAAAGGACAGCATAAAAGTGATTAAAGGCGAGTGCTTAAATTCATTGAAGCTAATGCCATCCCCCTGCTTTATGTATACAAAACAGAAGAAGTATTCATCATGGACTGAAATCAGTTGGGGAACCATTGAAAATCTGGGAGCACTGGACAGCTGTTTCGTCCTAGTATGGGAATCCTCAGCAGTACGCACCCCACGACCCGGCTAGGGGTAGAATTCACGACCCTCAGGTTCCACAGCGAACGCGTTAACGAAACAATTTTTACTCACATTGAGCCTACCTTGGTACTAATTTTCATACCAAGAGTAACGTGATTAACTTTTTCTTTTTCTCTACCATTCCAATTCCTCTATGTTTCCAATTAACTTCATTGGCCCTTTTCGTAAATTTTCATAGAAATAGTTCGACAAGTTCATGTGTCATTAGATTCTTCGAGGTGTTTATAACGCGTTAATACATCACACATCTTTCGAATAAACTTCGTCTTCTCATTACGCTGCTTAAATTATTATTTGTCCCTTGGGTTCCTAGTGGGATATAGGGTTTCAGTAGCACATCGTCATTTCACTCTGTTCTCTCCAGTCTTTTGAATCTGACTCCACGACTGTCCATACGCTTTCATTTCTTCCTCACACAATCTCCTTCATATCATCCTTGGATAACAAACTTATGGTTTCCCGTTTGGGTTCCATTCGACGGTCTGGCCTGGCGTGTGATGTTCTTAAATGGTCTTCTCAATATATGCCCGGTCTACCTCCACTTTCTTCACCTGTATATTTGTTGGGTGATGGGTTCTTGCTTCGCTGGTTCGTTGCCAGACCAGAGTTCCTCCTTTCTTATTCTTTTTGACCATCCATCTGACCTTCAGTATGTAGGCAGCAGCTATTGATCAGCGAGGAATAAGTTTGTTTTCCTTTTTTATATTTTCTTTGTGCTTTGAAGTTTCTTTAGCAACTGAAATGGTTTTATAGGATGCCCAACCTTCTCTCCTTATCCAGGTTTGGGATCGGCTAGTAACTAGCGAACTAGTTAAACAGGTGAGGTTAGTTAGATACAAGAACCACTAATTTTTAGGTATTGATACTGGTAGTTTCTTGTGGATTATTATTATAAGTGAATGACTTTATCGGCTTTTTTGGGTGATATATGCGGTATTAAGATGACATATATACAAGTAAAGAATTTGATGGATGGGAAAAGAAAAGACAAGAAATAACAATCATAGGAGTTGTCTCTAATTCAATGAAAGGACTATTCTCTGAACGTGTTCCTTCTGAATGCAAAATTCAGGTTTGAACAAATCTTATTAGTATAAGGTCACTTATGTTTACACAAGCGGTATTGTGTGAAATTTAATGCACTAAAATAGAACACTTTTTATCATCTTCACTTCACCCTTTCCAAACCAAGTGAGTAAATGTTCTCATATTCGGAGATACACCTTTCTAATAGTACGCCTCATGTGTAATTTGTTTCACAAGAACTACTAAACTGATATATCGAAGGTGAAGAGATAAGATTAAGTAGACTATCCTTTATTCTCCGATTGAACATTGGAAAGATGACCAACAGGAAGTGTTCTATCGACTTGTGTAGACAGGTTTTTGCTACAGACTATCACTTCGAACATCTTTCTCGAATGGTAATTTCAGTAGCAAATGCTTGTTCTCCAGTGTTGTCAATTTTCGTCTGACATTACCATAAGCAATGTTGGCTATAGAGAGACTGAAAGATGCTCTGGATTCAGGCTGTCTGGCTTCAGGAAGAACAAATCATATGCGAATCGAATTGTAACGCTACGCTGAGCATCATCATAGAACAGAGCATAGCATGGAAGTCATCTATACAGCAACTTCATCGATTTTGAAAAGGTCTTCGATCGAGGCGTCGAACGAGCAGAAATTTGGCAGCTGCTTCAACAGTATGGTTTTAGTGCCACAAACCTATATCAACCCCATTTAACAGGTGTATGACGACTCTACATGCCAAGTGACTCACAGTGGGAAGCTCAGTGACGCCTTCGAAGTGAAGACAGGAGTTACACAAGGTTCCCACCTACTATCACCATCGATGATCTTCCTGATTTTGGTCTACTGACTGGACTGAACTGAACTGGATCATGCAACAAACTATGAGGAGCTGTGAGAAGATGGGCATATGCTGTTTGACCAATGGAAAGACCCTAGATATTTGCATTTCGCCCATGATTATCTACGTCTAGTGTCACACAAGCTCGGAGGTATACAGGCAAAAACCAGCAAGTTGACAGAAGAGAAGAGACAGGGCAGCGAAGACAGGACTTCCTTCAAGTGGACGTAGAGAAGACACATATGATGAAGATACCCAACAAACGACGACAACAACAACAATCACCGTCAGTTCGAGAAATCTAAAGGAAGCTGTCTCTTTTACCTATCCACCCACATACGCAGCATCGCTTCTACTACAGGTGGCGGTGGTGGCACGGATGAGAACGTCAAAGCCAACCAGGATCGGAAAGACAGCAAGACATGTCTTCGTGCATTATTCTGAAATCAGTGTCGGACAAATAATAATAATATTGTGATGTTAGCTATGAAGAACTTACCGTGATATCCGTCTTCGTCTAGAATATCAGTGATACATTATAATTCTTTTCTCAGACACTTCCTGGATAAAAATCTATCTTATTCTAAATACTAGGCGCCTAATTATATATTATGTCTGTATATAATTTACATATGTTAGCATATGAAGGGAATGTATCGAACGACTGATTTCATTTTGATAAAGTGAAGTGATGGGTGAGTTAGGTTGGGAAGTGGTTCACAATAGACTGAGAATGTATCATCTCTGTATCGACAGTAGAACGGCATAGTAACAATTTGATCTTCCAAAGAACCACTTTTCAATTTTGTCAACAATATGTCTGCAAATATAAGGCTTAATGGAGGTCCCATATTGAATCCTTTAACTTGTTTTCACTAATTACCTGCTTTAAATTATGGTTTTATTTCTACCAGAAATTACTATTGATACTGGGTGATGAGGATTGAAGGTGAAATAAAAATGTTTAGTCTTAGCCGGATTTGAACTAGCCAACACCAAGTTTCTGGTCCGCTGCTCTACCAACCAAGCTATGAGGCCCTACTGATGACAAGATTTTTGTTTCACTTCAATCACCAAGGGTTTTACCCAACGACTACCATGTGAATTCGTGGTGCGTTACTTCCGCTTGGTCGTAATCACACTGGCTACCTACCTAGTTAGGACTTCTTATCCTAATCTAAATTTAACTGGATTAAAGAGGAGGGGAGTATCATATTGATTATCACTTTGACTATGTGAGATATTAACCTTAGTTTAGCTGAGTTGTATTTATACTGGGTGATGATGATTGAAGGTGAAATGAAAATTTGGATCACGTCGGTATCCAAACCAGTATCAACACTAGTCTGCCAAACCAAAGCTGCTATCTTAGATAGTTGATCATATTGACAGCAGGAATGCATGCTTTATGTTCTATTCTTCGATAGTTTTGTTTGAAGAGAAGGTCAACACGCCTATGAATGACTAGGCTATCTATAATCTCAGAAAAACAGATGTCTTCTTGTCACTGACACTCTTTCTTCAAACTATTTAGTTAACCATTTATTGATATACTTGTTATTCTCCGTTGTTTTGTTGGATCGAATTGTTCGACCTCTATTGGTATGTGGGCTCCTATGTGGATACCTCGATACTGTCTGAATGTTAATTATGATAATTTTGTTGGTTGTGGCCAGCAGAAGAATCCAGCTTGACGCGCATTTCGTCCTATTTTGGACTCGTCAGCTGGATGTAACTGTACCCCAGTGATATTGTTCCCACTGTGACTCGAATCTCGTACCAATCGCTTCAAACACCAAGGTGTTATCCACTATGCCAACCAAATTATCATAAGTAACATTTGGGCAATATCGGGGCATCCGCATAGGAGCCCATATGCCAATAGAGGTCAAACAATTCTATCCATTAAAACAACGGAGTATTACAAGCATATCAATCAATACTAATAACTACTACCCGTTGTACAAGAAGTGACTATCGTTCCTCTGTAGCATCGTGGATAACGCCTTGGCGTTTGAAGCGATGGGTACGAGGTTCGAGTCTCAGTGGGAACAACATCACTGAAGTGCAGGCACATCCAGCTGACGAGTCCCAAATAGGGTGAAACGCGCGTCCTGGATTCTTCTGCTGGCCACAACCAACCAAACTATCTTGTTGACAAGTGTAACTTGTCCAATGTTTATATACTGGTATAATTATCGGGTGATCAGGAAAACCTGATTTCTACATAAGTAAGCATATAAAAAAAGGATTATCAGTGAAAAAAATTGGGGTTTCATGAAGTTATCAAAACTGTTTCCTGAAGGGAAAGGTTGAATTGTATCACAAATTGAAGCGAAAGTCTTCACTTTCATGAATGCCTGATGCCGCACCGACTTCGCTGCGAAACCTGGTCACTAATCATCCTTATTTTTACACTAATTTCTTGGAGTTGCGTATAATTGTCGTACAAATGAGAGATGTGTATTTTTTGACTAATTGCAGTTTACCAGGCGGTAGTTATTAGTAGAATAGACAATTAGATTTCCAACCTCTTTGGGGACTCGTCAGCACCGTAATCAGACCCCAACCAAGTTTTTTAATCATTTTGAACGTGAAAATAATAATAATTTCCACCGATTATTGCAGTACCTTGTCAGTTAGGTCTTCTTGATCCAGTTCAAACTAGGTCGTAGTAACCTGTGTAATTATCAGATTAGACAATTTGAAATATACCCTAAATCTATCCTATGATCTGATGCCTGTTTGTTGAAATGCAGTCACAAATGAACAAATGAACTATACAATACTTGACATGTTATGTATACCTATGAACCGTTAACAGGAGAAACCTAAAGGAAGTTGTCTTTTTTACCTACCTAGGCAGCATCATTTCAACTACAGGCGCACAGACGAGGATGTCAAAACCAGGATCGGAAAACCAAGACAGACACAGCATAAAATGTGAACAACATCCGGATTCTCAACACCAATTTCAAGTCAGTGCTGCTATATGGTTGAGAGACTTGGCGCGTTACGAAAAGTATTTCCAATAAACTACAGACATTCACCACTAGCTGCCACCTGCACTCCATACTGAATGAAGCTCAGGTGACCAGAAAGAATAAACAAAAAGGAACTCTAAGAGTGAACCAACCAAGAACCTATCACCCAACAAATATGCACTGGAAGAAAGTGGAGATGGATTGGGTATACACTAAGAAAACCGATTGGGGAAATCACGCGCCAGGCCAAGCCATTGAGTGGAACTCAAAGGGGATACGACGAGTTGGGCGTCCAAGCCTGGTGTGACATGAAGGAGATTGTGTGAGGAAGAAATGAAAGTTTGTGGTCAGTCGTGGTGCCAGGTTCAAAAGACTGAAGAGAAGAGAATGCAATGGAGGCGTGCTACTGAAGCCCTATATTCCACTAAGAACCCAAGGGGAAATGATAATAACAATGTACCTATGATACTGTAGATTTTGTATGTTTCCCTGAAGAAGCTTATACCGGAATTCCCTGCGAAACGTTGAAAATTCTTAGGTGAAACACGCTGAGATTTATACTAATATAACTTATATGTCTAGTGTCAATTTTTCACTCCATGCCCAGGATTCATGCAAATCCTGTTATTGTTCACAGATGTGTTGACTGTTTGTCGAACAACAACGCTGTTCATATCAACAAAGTTCTATTGAAGAGTCCCTCTTCAATAGTTTTATTTCTTCCTTGTTAAAACCTGTTAGCGGAACATTTCACTGATGAAATAGTATTTCACAACTTACTTCCTGATGTTTTGTGTTGAGCATCTAGTTTTCCGTAGAACATTGAAATTGTCAGGTTTTTGTCATCACTCAAGGTGTTTCTATCACACATATACATACATACATGCAGCTCCATTTTCTTGTCATATATTACGAGTGACTTTTAAGGTCACCTTAGTAATTGCTGCATCAATCAATGAGATTTTGATATTTTGAGTTAAAAGTTGATTTTTTCATGGAAGAGAGAACCGTAATCGGTTATGTTAACAATTGTTGAATTGGTCTATGAAATCACTCTTTATTCATTTCAAAGTTCCTATAAAATTTCTTGGTTAATCCTAGATCTCATCTATCTAAATTCCTCCTGTCTATCGTTACTGATCTCTTGTTAGGACTTATATGATGAAACTTTGAGGAAACTCGTTTTACCTAGCAAATGTGAATGACTAACTATCTCCTATATAACCAGTCAGGTTTCTATATTTGTGAAAAAGTCCCTTTCTTAACTAAAAAAATAAAGAAACCTGATTGGTTATTTCAGGGATTGTTAGAGTCATTTGTAAAGACACCACACTATAGATTCAAACTGGCATATTTTTGTAATAAATCCAAAGATTCTTTTTCTCACCAAACTAATCAGATTATGAATACATCTTTGTAGAACCCGACGATGTATACGAATTGATTATCTCATGGTAACCCGTGTAGATATCAATGTTTATAGGTTTCTCATTGATTATACATATTCCATTGACCAGTGATGATTTCTCTCTCCTTAACATCAAGAGACTTTTAAAGCTTTCATATAACTTTATAAACGATTCATTAATTCGTTTTATTGTGATGCTTATTCTACAGTCTTGAAACAAACACAAGAGATCGTTTAAGTGCACTTCAAGGTCGGTTGAATGAAGTTGTCGACAAGTTGGCTATTCAATTAACAGATCAATTTGAAGTCGGCGTACGTTCACATGCACGTGAGTGTGGTAAACTATTACAAAAGGTTAGTAATACTTTTTTTCTTGATGTTCAAGATAAAGCTAGCTGGTTGTTGTTTTTCTGTAGTCTGTTCGATGGAATCCAACATGTACGTTCCCTCCTGTTTGAATCTTGTCAGGTGGAATACAACATAATGAATATCCAAGCAGTATCGAGGCATCTGTATGAGTCCATCTGAGAACAGAGGTTGAGCTTCAGCGAATCATACTCGTTCTTATCAGCATATATTGGCCTACTGGTTTAGTAAAGCATAAGGTATTAGAAGGAACCCTAATTGTTGATGAACAATCCAAGTACTTCAACTCATACTGATACGTCCAGCTGACGAGACCCAAATAAGATGAAACGCGTGTTGTGGATTCCCCTGCTAGCCACTAACAGTCACCGCAAACTTGTCATTGATGTTGCGTTTTCAAGTTGGTATTCATCATGGACTGATATCAGTTGGAAGGACATTGAAGCTGTAGACAGTTAGCTGTTTCTTACTTGTGTGAGACTCCTCAGCAGTGCATAGCCATGGCTCGACCCGTCGGGGCTCGAACCCGGGACCTTCAGGTTCCGTGGCCAGCACATGGCGCGAACATCACACAATCTTGTCGTTCAGTATTTGTCCTCAGAGCCATCAGGTTCGCTTCACCAGTCACAACTTTAAGGATCACCTCTAGAAGCCAGTAGCCAATAAGCGCTATGTCGTGAACTGGATCCCAACCTAGTGGCTCAGTGGTAATGTGCTGACCATGGAACCTCAGCATCCTGTGCTCGATCCCATGCATGCACACTGTTGAGAAGTCCCGTACTAAGACGAAACAGCTAGCGGCTCAGTGCTGCCAGGTTTCCGATGTTTCTCTAAATCGTATGAGTTCATGATGAATACTAACCTGAAATGAATCAATAAATCCCAACAAACCCTCAAATTAGATTGTTGTATTATCCCATTCAGTTACTTCCAACACCTACTAACTGTCTTGACTGATGTGCGACCACCGGTAACCCAGTAATCCGGTGGTCACTGGTTCGAAGCCGGCAACGGTCCAGATTTTCATTTCACTTTCACTCGTCACTTAGTATAAATACTAGTCTTCCAAACCACGGCTGCTACCTCAAATAGTCAAATGATAGTCAATATGATGCTTTAATATAAGTGAAAAACTTGGGCACTGTGGTAGAATGTAGTTCCATATTAGATTTGTTTATTTGATATAAAGCGCACAGTGATACAGTGTTATTTAATTGATTACGTTTCGAGCATAAATTACTGCTCATAATCATATCAATGTAATCACACTTCTTTCGACATCTGATTTTATAGTCCTGTCACCTGATCTCTCTTTGTTTTTTGATTGGTAGTAAAGTTTTCCATATCTCTGGTATAGGTGTTGCGTCATTCCTATTCCACATGTGTTGGGTGTGGATTCGATGAACAAAGATTCAGTAATTAATCTCTCTCTCCACCTAGCTATATTAGACTTAAGTACAGTGGTTTTGTCCCACCCACCCTATTGTGTGGTTGTGTGTTAATGAATGTAATGCAATGGCTGAGTGTTTTTCTAGGTTATCGATCTTATTGGGACGTAATACTGATGCTAAATACTTTGATATCTCATATGTTGGTGTGTTCCAGAAGTCAACTACGTCCTGTTAGAGACCGTTCCAACTCTAGACTAGTAAATTCTTACGAGTTGAAACAAAAACTTAATGACCTGCACATAGAAGAGATGAAAAAATGGTTAGTTTTGACGTAACAAGTCTTTATACTAAAATACCAATCAATATGGCACTGGAGGCAGTCAGAAATCAACTAGATACTGACTCACAACTTACTCAAAGAACCAAGGCATCGGTTGGTGAAATCATGTTAGGAGTGCAGTTATGCTTAACCTCGACAGTCTTCAAGTTTCAGGGAAAGATATACAGACAAACAGAAGGAGTAGCAATGGGATCACCAATATCCCCTATAGTAGCAGATATATTTATGGATAGTTGGGAAGATATGGCTTTACGAACATATAATCCGACACCTAAGATATGGTGGCGATATGTAGATGACACATTTACAGTGTTGAAATCGGAACATATCGACAGTTTCTTGACACACATAAACTCAGTAGTTAACGCAATCCAATTCACTTACGAAGTAGAAAATGAACAAGGAGAATTACCTATGTTGGATTGCAGAATAAAACGAAGGATAGATGGTGGTTTAGATACTACCGTCTACAGAAAACCAACACATTCTAACAGATATCTAGACTTCAAGTCATCTCATCCAGTGTCAGTTAAAGCGGGTTTAGTCAAATGTCTAAATAACAGAGCTGAGAAACTCACTAGTCATTGTAAGGACTTAAATAAGGAATTGAAACACATAAAAGAAGCGTTAATAATTAATAATTATCCCCATCATTTTATTAAGAAATTCACACACACATAAGAAGCAAAATAATAACACTAATACAAATACAAATAATAGTGACAACATAAGTAGAAAGGAAATCAACACCTCTATTGTGATACCATACAAGGAAGGAACATCAGAAACCATACGTAGGATTCTCAACAAGGTTGGAATTAGGGTGGCATTTAAACCAACAAACTCACTTAGAGGTAAGCTTTGTCGGCTAAAAGATCCGATAGAACCAATTAAGCAAAATAATATAATCTACCAAATTCCATGTAATGACTGTGAAGTCAAATACATAGGTCAAACTAGCCGGTCGGGGTCAGTTAGATTAACAGAACATAGGAATTTAGCTAAACATAGAACGGCAGACCCCAATAAGATCAATAACCTAGAAAAACACTCAGCCATTGCATTACATTCATTAACACACAACCACACAATAGGATGGGACAAAACCACTGTACTTAAGTCTAATATAGCTAGGTGGAGAGAGAGATTAATTACTGAATCTTTGTTCATCGAATCCACACCCAACACATGTAATAGGAATGACGCAACACCTATACCAGAGATATGGAAAACTTTACTACCAATCAAAAAACAAAGAGAGATCAGGTGACAGGACTATAAAATCAGATATCGAAAGAAGTGTGATTACATTGATATGATTATGAGCAGTAATAATTTATGCTCGAAACGTAATCAAGTAAATAATACTGTATCACTGTGCGCTTTATATCAAATAAACAAATCTCATGTGGAAATATGATGCTTTCCCCGCCTCTCTGATTCAGTTAGATTTCGATTGGGATGAGAAGTCTTGACTAGGCAGTCAGTGTGAATACGATTAAGCAATAGTAACGCATCACGAATTCGCATGGTAGTCGTTAGGTAAAACCCTTGTTGATTGAAGTGAAATAAAATTCTGGTCTGCAGTCGAACCTCATAGCTCAGTTGGTAGAGCATCCAGCCGGTAACCCCATGTTTGCTGGTTCGAATTCGGCCGCTGTCCAGATTTTCATCTCACCTTCAGTCATCACCCAGTATCAGTACTAATCTTTCGAACCACGGCTACTATATAAGATAGTGAAATGATGATATGGGATTGTATCACATAAAGGAGAGATATCCGACTGTTTGTTAAATATCCCGAATACCAGAGTAAAGTGTCTTGGAAATTAGTTGACGTTGATACAGAAAGCTTCTTCTTGAAGTCAGAAAAGACCATCTATTTTAATTACTGTATTGTAAAACATTTTCAAGGAATTTATCTCCGAATAAGATATTAAAAAAGATGAACTATTCGTTAGAAAGTAATTCTATGAACAACTCCTATCAGGTTATACAATGCCTATGTTCATATGGTCTTTACAAAAATTTACACAAATAAAGTATGCCACTCTGTCTATTACTATATATCATAAACTCTATGTATTATTTATTCAATTACGAAGTGGCTTTTTGAAATACTTGAACTATTAAGAAAGAAGAAGTTGAACTATAATCAGAAAGACAGATAAAATCAACTTGGAACCTTGCAGACAAATGGATCAGTTCAAGTTGCTAAACTTCAGCATACAAAAATAGATGGATACAAAAAAAGTGATACCAAAGTAGAAAACGTTGTGTGGGGGAGTAAACAATCTGAAGAGAACGGTCAGTGCAAATATTCAGGCTTTAAAAGATGTCAAGGAATGAACACATTTTCACCATTGTCACCAATATTTAGCTATATCAGCAAGGCAGTCTGTGTCAGCCCACGCAGCTCAGTTCGATAGTCAAATACTTCATGAACTGACACCACGTCTTGGTCTGTCTACCCTGAACCCTCTTCCAACCTAATCTAGCTTCCCTTAGCATGATACATCTAGATAGGCGGGGGATCAGCTTGCACAACATGTACCCGTGTTATCTTGGTCGACGAAGGTTCTCAACCTCGTTAAACGACTCAATATCCTTTCTAAGTACCGTAAGTCTAACCTCAAGATCTCTGACATTCCATGAAACTAGCGCAAAGCTATGAAGACAGCTATGATCGAAACCACGTAAGCGCGACATTTCTTCCACTTTTAACGTTCATGTATCCCAGCCTTCTTTGACAGATAGTAGAATATGTCACTAGTTGGCACCAAGAATGACCCAAGTTAGTAAATTTGAAACAGGTCTTCTGTATTCGAGGTGAGATTTCGTCACCAACTAACCCGTTACTACAAGTTCCTAAGTAAGTGAAGTGATCGATACATTCCATCACTTTATTCTTTATCATAAGTATTTAAAGCAGATGGGTTTTGGAGCATCGTACTAAATTCGACAAGCGCAAAACGCAGACTAGTCAAACATACTCTGGTTTCTGATGAACGATAATCAATTAAAAATGTCAGTTTGACATTGTGTATGCCCACACATACATGTAAATTGGTGAACACAATAGGATGTGATATAATTATTTATGCTAGGTTGTGGTTTGTGGCGAAGCAGGTGTTTTTGTTGTCTCAACAATGATAAGCTGATCTGCATAGTATGTTTTACTGATAACAGATTTTAATCTCTCCTTCAATATCATACTGCTCGTTTCCCCTCTGCATAGTACTTTAAGAAATATAACCTTCAGGACAGAGAAAATTATAAGCTTCGGAGTTAGCTGTTTTCTACAACGGTGCACAAACTGTAATGGATATCCGTTTTCCATAAATGTCTGTCGGATGTACGATTAGGCTGGATCCTATTAAATAAGCATCTTACCAAGAATCTTTTATAATTTCATTGTACAAAATGTGTAGAAACTCAAGTACTGTCGCGTCCAAGTGCACTTTCTAAAGATTGATCGTCTGATAGATCCATTTTCACTCGGATATATGTGTTGGCGCACATTCATAAGGAGGAGTAATCGTTCAATGCAGACTAGGGTCAGCGAACAACATATACCTGAATGGTTTAAAAACAGATTAACACACAAACACTAATAAGTCCAGGTGACAGATATTCATCTTCATCTAAATGAATCACAAGGTTAATATGAAAACAACCTTCAAGATATTAAGAACAAGATATTCAGTGAAGAGACTCTTTTCAACGAATTTATTTTCAAGCTGTACAATCGTATATATATGATATTTGGAAAAAATTATATCCTGTGAGGAAAACTAAACACTATATGGTGATGACAATAATAATAGAGCGGGTGATGACATAGGCATTTATGATTATGATAACAATTGAAGTGAGAATGATAACAAATAGATTATGTAATATATGGAATGGTACATAGAGAGTATATAACTCAGAAGGGGGTGAAAAAATTGTTGAAAATGGTAAATCAATTAAGTATTATGTAATGGCATTAGACAAATTGGACAAGATGAAGTCAACGTTTTCTAAAAGGATTAAGACAATTAAGTGAAACAACACCGGAAACTAGTTAAAGTGAAGGCGATTATAATAACAATAATAGTGATAAAGGAAGGATACAAAGGTTAAATTAACAAAGTGGGAGGGGAGCTAATGGGGTGGGAAAATGTTATGGCCATGACAAAGACAGTGACTGCACATACTTCTTTTGTACACACAGATCAGGTCTTAGTTCATGAATAGCTAAAGCCTCCGCTGTTTTAAGGAGCTGAAAACGAAGAGAACGTGGGAGGTTTGGGCGAATTTGATAAATAATTTCAAAGTCATCGTCTGGATTTGTTGTGTGATGGAAGTCAATCAAATGTTCTAGAATCGAACTTCTAACAGACTTTCTTTCACCTTTATAAAACCAAGCAGGCACATGTTCTCGTATACGTGTAGAAAGCATTCTGTGGCTACGGCCGATGTACCTTGCTCCAGAAGAGCAGGTGAACTGGTAGATGCACATAGAGGTGGCCAAACGAGGAAGCTTGTCTTTGACGCAGGTGGAGAATAGGTTGCGGCTGGTAAAAGTCAACTGAAGTCTTGCTGCGAAGAAAGTCCTATTGATTGATCTGGTAAGACGATTCTTCAGTACATCCGATGCTAGGTCTCCTTTAAACTCTAGGCTCATAAACAATCTTTTCTTTGAGACCGAGTGGATGACTGGTTTAGTGTTTGTTTCCCGCATATTTTTATCAATAAAACGGCTAGGGTAACCATTTTCGACAAATATGCTTTGTAAAAAAGATAGCTCTTCATCGATACAATCGTCACTACAGATATTTCTTATTCGATAGCAAAGAGAGTGAATAAGATTTCTTTTTCTGTTGATGGGCACCCAGCTATAAAAATTAGTTAGTTGTCCGTTCCACGTTAGTTTTCAAGATATTATACAAGAATAATCATGAGCACATACTGGAATTCGTGGAAGCATCAGCCATTCGTAAACTGTAGTCCCCCTTCTTATGTGTACAAAAACTCACCTTGGTAATCTGATTATATTACCAAGACTAGTGTCATAACCTTTTCATATTCATCATATTTGACCTTTCATTTTCATATATAAATTGACTTGAGACAAGTAAAATGTGTTGGGGATCGGATTGTTCATAATGTTGTATTGCAGAAATACATCACAGACATATTCTTCAGATAATCTTCATTTTCTAATAACTTTATCAAAATTTTGATTGAATTCAACTTTTTATCTTCTCGATGTTCTACTCCAAAGAGAAGATAATGATTCAATTCATAGATTGATTTACAGAAAGCCTACACGGAAAGGATAGTTTATTGATTTTCAAAGTTAAGTCCCTCTGAATAGAACGAGAAATGTAAGGTTCCTTTTGCTGAATTTTGAATTCACAAATAAAACTGATACAAACATTTTCAGAAAATGACTACCAAGGTCTAAACTTAGAATACACTTTGCTACCAACCTTGGAATCATCTTCTCCTGCAAAAAACGTTTTGTTTACAATGGATAACAGACAAGATGATGAATTAAACCACGTCATTGTGTGTGCACCAGTTTATTTGCTCCTGTGGAGCTCAGTACAATGGATGAACTATACCACTGCTTATAAAATGCATTCGAAATGGAGAATAGAAATGCATCTTGAGCTCAAAAGAGCTTTATAATGTCACATGTACTATTTATATCTACTGTTCAGTAGATCAGTTATATAGTTGAAATGTTATAAAGTAGAAAATTGGTTCAATTGCATGATTTTCCTTCTTAAGTAATTCCAAAGTTAAGTATACACCTAATTTAACCTGTTGCCCTAAAAAAAGTTGGTAACAGAGACCGCACATAATTCCTTTGAAGCTGTGAATATTGACCGTCTCGACGCTTAAGTAACAGTGAATTACCACTACTTTTAAGTAACAGCTGCCTACGCTCGATACTGAAGATCACATAGTCAGAAAGAATAAGCAACAAGAAAGTAACTCGCGTAACGAACCAACCAACAACTTATCGCCCAACAAATATGCTGAAGAAGAAATTCGAGATAGATTGAATTGGGCATACACTGAGAAAACTGACTGGGGACATCATGCGCCAGGCGCTCAAGTGGAAGCCAAATGGGAAAGGATGAGTGGAGCGTCTAAGTGTGACACAGAGGAGATGGTGTGAGGAAGAAATCAAAGCCTCTGGGCCGTCGTGGAGCCAGGATGAGAAGAATGCAGAGAAGATTTTATCATAATTTCTCCTTGAGTGAATGCTAGACATGTAAATATCGAGTACCGTTTGCTTGACATCAGTTCATACACCTTCTACTTGAGGATGTTGAGATATAGATTAACAGTGGACAGTCAGATTTCCTAGCTGGTTGTCAGCAGTCATGAGGAAGCCATGCTCTATTTTGGTTTCGTGATTGTTGATACTCATCAGAAAGGTGTATCTGGAATTTCTATGGAATTGACGTTTCACTTGAGATTTAAACTCACGTCATCAAGATGAATACCACACTGTTTTTCTACTTGAAATGTTTCATTCTCATCAACTTAATTGTTTTTTAGTTTGAATAATTTCACTTTGTTTTCATCTATTTCCAGTGTAAACCATCATCAAGTGGTTCAGACAATGCAAGTGGTCGTGGAATTAGCAAAGAAGATGAAGCCAATGAGTGTTTACAACCATTAATGGATCATTTTGAGTCAATTCTATCAGTACTTGCAAATATCTGTGATAAAACTGTACTGAAAAGGGTGTTAAAGGTATATAAAACTATGAACTATTTAATTCGAGGTAAACTTTCTTTTTTCTCGAAATGTCAAGTCAGTGCTTCTGTGTGATGGTTGAGAGACTTGGCACGTTACAAAAAGTATTTCCAATAAACTACAGACATTCATCAACAGCTGCAACCTCATACAAGCCCATATGTCGATAAAGGTTGAACAATTCTATCCATTAAAACAACGGAGAATTACAAGCATATCAATGAATACTAATAACTGCTACCCGTTATACAGGAATTGGCTATCGTGCCTCCGTGGTATACTGGATAACGCCTTGACATTTGTAGCGATGGGTACGAGGTTCGAGTCAAAGTGGGAACAACATCACTAGGAACTAAGGTACAGGTACATCCAGCTGACGAGTCCCAAATAGGACGAGAAGCGCGTCCTGGATTCCTCTCCTAGCCACAACCAAGTAAACTATCGTAATTAACATTCAGGCAATACCGAGGCATCCGTATAGGACCCCATATACCAATAGGGGTCGAACAATTCGACCCAATAAAGTAACGCAGCATTAAAAGTATATATATATATAGTAACGTTATATGAAGGTTGATTGAGTATATCCCTGAATAGTTGAGAAGAAAATTGCATTCAAATAATTCGATAAATACAACGGGCAAACTGAGGTTAACGTCCAAAGTTAAACAAAACAGCGTTTGGACCATTATTTAAAAGCTGTCAACATTGTATGCTACTCAGGTTTACTGAAGACTGAGCTTACCTGACACCTTTATTGGTAATCTTCATCACATCTCAATACGGGGATTGATGTGAAAATGTATTATTCCTATATTTTCTCAAACTTGTATTATCCTAATGTATTATCATTTTAAGATACCCAACCAATAACAAGCACCAATCATCGGGAGAAATCTAAAGGAAGTTGTGTCTTTCGCCCACCCACCTACCTAGACAGCGTCTTTTCAACTACAGGCGGCACAGATGACGACGCCAAAGCCAGGATCAGAAAGACACCGAGACAGGCCTTCATTATTCTGAAATCAGTGTGGAGATCTACTGCACTCCACCACTGCACTCAGCATAAAGTGTGAACAACATCCCGACTCTCATCACTAATGCCAGTCAAGTAGGTCAGTGCTTCTGTGTGATGGTTGAGAGACTTGACGCGTCACGAAAAGCATTTCCAGTAAACTACAGACATTCATCAATAGTTGCTGCCTACACTCCATACTGATGATCAAATGAATGGTCAGAGAGAATAAACCAGGGGGAAGTCACTCTGCCAACGAACCAACGAAGCGAGAATCAGTCACGCAATAACAACGAATATGCAGAAGACGATGGTGGAGGTGGATTAGATTGGGCATACACTGAGAAGACTATTTAGGGACATCACACGCCAGGCCAGGCTGTCGAGTGGAACTGAAATGTGAAAAGACAAGTCGTGCGTTTGAGGCGAGAGTGACATGGAGGAGATTGTGTGAGGAAGAAATGATAGCTTGTGGGTAGTGGTGGAGTCAGGTTAAGAAGACTGGGGAGAAGAGAGTGAAATGGCAACGTGGTAATGAAGCCCTATATTCCACTAGGAACCCAAGGGAAAAATAAATCAATAACATAACAATTATCATTTTATTTATCTAAGATGGTATGGTATAGTATGATTTGACAGACTTGTATTATTGATACTGGGTCATGAATGAAGGTGAAATGAAAGTCTTTGGCTGTAGAAGGATTTTATCCAGCAACCTACGAGTTACCTTATCAGTATCCTATCAAGTGGTTTGAGAGATTGAACTGCTGGTTAGATTTCAATCTGCTTGAGGTACCTGCCCATTGCTCTATTTTCACCTTTCATATGAAAATGTCAGACGTTCCACTATCAAATTAGTTATCCTAATGAATATTGACTCATAGTCAGAGAGGTTTACATCTAATCATAGTGAGTGAGAATAGAACACATAAATACACTTACCTGATTACCTTCTCTAATTTTTTGAAATAATGTACACATATCGTGTCTTTTCCGTGGTAATTTTTACAAATTTCTTTTTCAGCAACTATGGAGAGTGACCATGTATAATTTGGAGAAACTTGTTGTACTACCTGCTGTTACAGATCAGAAACAAGTAAGTAACCTAACGAATATTTTACTTCTATTTACTTCTACAATATCATGCTTTAATTACACATCTTTTATCAGAGATTCCTTTCAAATTTCTAGTAATTCCACTGAGAATAGTGTATAGTTTTAGGCTTAACAAGTAAATTATGTTATCATTTAAAGATACTGATGCTTTTGAAGTGAAGACAGGAATAAAACAAGGCTGCCTACTATCACCCATGATATTCCTGATTGTAGTGGACTGGATCATGCAACAAACATCTGTGAGAAGCGAGAAGAGGGGGATACGCTGGAATGGAGAGAAGAACCTACAAGATATGAATTTCACCGACGACTCATGTCTAATGTCATACACACTTGAAGATCTAGAGATGAAAACTAACAAGTTGACAAGAGAGGCAGCGAAGAAGGAACGTCAAGTGAACGTAGAGAAACAGAGGTGATGAAGATACCCAACCAACAACATGAGCAACAAGAAGAGGCACCAATCACCATGAACGAGAGAAACTTAAAGGAAGTAGTCTCTTTCACCTATCTAGGCAGCACTGTTTCAACTGCAATTGCCACGGACGACGACGTCAAAGCCAGGATCGGAAAGGCAAGACAGGCGTTCATAAGCCTGAAACCAGTGTAGAGACCTTCTCCACTCAGCACGTGGAACAAGATCCGGATTTTCAACACCAAGTCAGTCAAGTCAGTGCTTCTGTATGGTTGAGAGACTTGATGCGTTACAAAAGGGATTTCCAATAAACCACAGACATTCATCAACAACTGTCGATGCTCGTTAATGAAGATCAGATGGCCAGAAAAATAAGAATAAGCAACAAGGAACTCTGGGAACGAACCAACCAAGAACCCATTGCTCAACAAATATGTAGGAGCAAGGGGAGATGGATTGCGCATACATTGAGAAGGCCTACTGGGGACATCAAGCTTCAGGGCCTCGAGTGCAACGCAGACGGGAAGCAACGAGATGGGCGTCCGAGCTAGGAATGACATAGGGGAGATCATGTAAGCAAGAAATGAAAGCTTGTCAGCAGTAGAGGAGCGACGTTAAAAAGGCTGCAGAGAAGATAGTGCAATGGAGACGTGCTACTGCAGCCCTATGTTCCATTAGGAACCCAAGGGACAAACAATAAATAACAGTAGTTTGAAGGTATCCTGAAAAACAATGGACTGAATAGTTTGAAAAAACTTCGGCATCGAGTTAACATGATTCATTGTATAAGGGGTATATTTACTTGTCTAATCCCCGTGTAGTATATAACAAAATAAACAAATATCCTGTGTATTCTCCCTCAACCTCAACCATTCCATCTTGTTAAGAAGATCCCTCACTTCAAGTGTATGAATGTGGCATTAAATTCTCAGGTTAATATTCAAGTATTGGTAGAGAAGGTGGTGGATGACGTTTACAATCATCCAATCACATCGTGATATGGAGCATAGATCGATGTAATACAAGTGAGTGAATAGGTGAATCACTCAGAAAGGTTTTTTCCGGTTGTGTGAGTATTATTTAACTTCATAAAAAGGGAGATAGGATTATTATATGAAAAAAAGTCAAATTAAGCCAGATAAGGAAATTCAATACTCTAAGTAGAAACTCTAACCAACGAAATATTATGCAACATAATCTCAGTGCAGTGTGTAATGTATCCTATCGTGTCCTCACATGTGAGGAAAATTCACTATTATTCAAAGGATTAGACTTTAATCTAAATCCCCCACCAATGACCATACTCGTAGTCGCATTGTCAGTAAAACCAGCATTGAAATTAATCTAACAGGATATCGTAGACCAGGTTAGATATAAAGTCTCACATGTTGTGATTCATCAAAAAGGGGGCAAATATGAACATATGGATAAAAGAGGAACATGCTCTTCACTCTTTCAACAATTAATAAGAACATACGGATTATGAAAACTGACAAAAAGAAAAACATAAGTGTTGTCTTGAAGACATTAGACTATGAACAGAAGTTCGGAGAGGATTTATCCAGTGGACTTTATGAAATGATGGAAAACAAGAAGCGTAAACTTACACTTAACAAGGTGAAACTACAAATTCACAAATTACTATACAATCTGAAATCGAAATTACGCAACACCTAATGGTTTAATTTAGCCCCAAAGGTTATGCTATTTCACTCTTCTATAGCCTTACTGAAATTCAGAAACCCAATTTTTTGATTCGTCCAATTGTTGATTTTACTAATTCCCTAACATATAACCTTTCAAAATACCTTAAACGATTACAAGACAACTTGGTAAGTATCGTTAAAAGTTCATTAGACTTCGAACATAAATTTCTACAAACAACGAGTGAAGATAAAGAAACAGTGGTTAGCTCTGACAAATACAAATATACCAATTGATGAAAGTATACAAGTTGTTAGATTTTTATTACAGTCGGATACTTCTTTATCATTTAGGTGTAATATTTCCATCAGTGAAATCTATGATACACTGAGATTATGTCTGACCTCAATCTATTTTACTTTTCGAGGGGACATTTATCGTCAACACCAATAGGGTAGCAATGAGTTCATCTGCCTCATCCATTGTAGCTAATCTATACATATACAAAGTAGAATCACATCTATTTAGGCAACATAATTTCAAATCAAGAATATGGTAGAGGTATGTTGATGACACCTTGGTCATAAGCAAAAAACAAGATCTAGAAAATATTTTTGAATATTTTAACTGCCGTTTCCTTTCTATAAAATTAGCATATGAATTAGAAACAGAATTCAGAACCTTAGCTTTCCTAGACTGCAAGGGGATACGAAACAATGATGGGCTACTTGACATTGATGCACCTTCTAACAAGTACCTTGATTTCGATTCTGCTCATCCATCGGGAACTAAGATAAACGTTGCCAAAAATCTGTTGAAGAGGTCACAAATGATACCAAATAAAGTGAAACCTCAGCAAGCAGATAGGCAACTGGTTACGGAAGTCTTACAACATAATAACTATTCGGGGAAGCTATTAAAAAGGATAGAAAAAAGTTTATGAAATAAATATACGAAAAAGCCAAGCTACAAAGATTCGTTAAATACTATAGTACTTCCTTATCAAACATCCACTTCAAAGGAAATAAACTGATTTGTGACTAGCTTCTAGAGGTATTCCCGAAGTTCCAATGAGAAGTCGTGACCGGTGGAGTCAAAGCTTGATGGTCGTGAGGACAGTTACTCAATGATGACATTGGGTAGCGGTTGCGCTATATCGTGAGCGAACAGAAGTTGGAAATATGGACCATTGGATTCCGCTAACCCAGTGGCTCAATGTTAACGTTCTGTGCTTACCACGGAAGCTGAAGGTCACGTGCGGGTTCGATCCTTGGTGGTGCGGGGTGTTGGGTGCGCACTGCCGAGGAGTCCCACAATAGGACGAAACAGATATCCAGTGCTCCCAGGTTTCCTTTGTTCCTCCAACTGATGTCAGTCTACAATGAATAACAACTTAAACTATTTCCAAATCTCCACAACTCCCTCAAAAAATTCAATATCCATAATAATTACAATATCAGAGTATTCTTTAAGGTAACGAATACATTACACTCACACCTGTGTAAATTAAAAGATCCAATTTCGTCATTTAGAACAAAAGAACTGTTTATATGGGAGACTGTAGTGAATGCGATGCCATGTACATTGGATAGATATCATGTCAAGTACTAACACGTCTAGCCGAACACGATCGAAGTTGAAAGAAACCACCAAAATATTTTTATGATTCTAGAAAAACTTGGAAAAATCTCTGCTATCGCAGCTCATGCCCTATATTCAGGTCATAAAATATCATTCGAAAAGATGAAAGTTCTGCAAAAGGGTTTTCTTTCTCACAAAGATCGGAGCATTGCAGAAGCTTTGCACATCTGTTGGTACCCTTCTTCGGTCAACAGAGAAAATGGGTTAGACATCCCACTAATATGGCAAACACACCAATGACTCGCATAGGCAGTTGTAAATAATATCTGAAGAGAAGGTAGAACACAAATTCATTCCACATGATTTATTCTGAATTTACTCTTGCCTGAATAGTCTCCGGTGTTATTTCACTTAATCGTCTTAATCACGTCACAAAAAAATATTGGCTATATTTTAACAACTTATTTATTCCTACTATATATATCACTCTATTAACCTACTATTTTCATTAATTTTACCCTCCTTTCTGAGTTATCTACATTCTATGGACCATTCTATATACTGCATAATCTATTTTGTACTAAGTGATGATTGAAGGTGAGATGAAAATCTGAACAGCGGCCGAATTCGAACCAGCGAACATCTGGTAACCGTCTGGATGCTCTACCAACTGAGCTATGAGGTCCTACTGCTGACCAGAATTTCATTTCACTTCAATCACCAGGGGTTTCGCTTGACTACCATATGAATTCGTGATGCGTTACTATCACTTAATCGTTTTCATACTGGCGGCCTAGTGAGAACTTACCTCCCAATCCGAATGTAACTGAATTAGGATGAGTGGGGGAGCATCATACTGTTTATCATTTTGACTGTGTGAGATAGCAGCCGTGGTTTGGCAGACTGATATTGATACTAGATGATGATAACTGAAGGTAAAATGAAAATTTGGACCGCGGCCAGATTCGGACCAGAAGCCTTGGTGGTTGAAATGAAATAAAATTCTGGTCAGCAGTTGGACCTCGTAACTCAGTTGTTAGAGAACCGCTAACCTGGTGTTCGCTGGTTCGAATCCAGCCACCGTCCAGATTTTCATCTCATCTTCAATCATCACCCGGTCTGCCAAACTACGGTTATCTCAGATAACCAAATCATAATCCATTTTGTTATCATTCATACATGAAGTGTTATCAAAAGTACCTTTATCGTTTTCATAATTTTTATTTATTATATATAGTATGATGTTCAAATATTCATTCTTCGAAACTACTAATATATTCTTTCTCATCCTTGATGTCTAACAACCCCATTGCACTTTTCATACACGGACTAAAAAATCT